TTTAGGTAGAAATACACTCGAAACTCCGGCTACAAATAAGGCTCCGAATGGTTCAGTTAGCTGTCTTGGTAGTACTACTAGGACCTGGGAGCGTCAGTGTATCGGTATATGCTAATATGCTATGATCTCTGTACTCTTCAAGCTGTGAGCGAAATACACGTTGCAGGCTTCCAGCATCTAGCTGGTGCAGTCAGCTGCAGTGCATCCATGATGAACACAGAATACAAACGTGTGTACCAGAATGGATGCAGAGGACGAAACTGTCAACAAGGCATGAGTTGTTCATACCTTGTCCTGCTGCCCCTACAGTTACTTAGAATTTTTTAATGGGATGGGATTTGTCACAAGAATCAGCGCCATGTTCGCTTGGGTTACTTTTTCAACCAACGAATAGTATTTTTCTCACACCAAATCAGCCAACAGTACTTTCAGCCATGGCTTATCAGCCAAACAAGCCCAAGCGAACAGGGCGAAGGCTGGTTTCGTTCAGCAGATGAGGATGGCAGAATAGGCAATGGTGAAATATTTAATGGCAGAATAGGCGATGGTGAAATATTTACAATGATTTGATAACACACAGTTAAACTCAACATCATGGTGAACTATTTTTTATACAAAAGCTCATTGAAAGTGGAAAGCAGCATCGTCAAGTCTGGGTCTAGTTCATGCTTCTTCCAAGCTTCCTCAAATTGTTGTCCCTTGCACCTGCAACAATAAACCTTTTATTACTACACAAGAAACAGAGATACAGGGCAAAAATGGAAGTGGATACAGCAACATTTTCCTAGTTCATGCGGTACAACCAATACCAAAGGCCATAGGCTACATCCTCATTAATAAAAAAAACTTCGCCATGTGTGCGCAGTACACTCACCCTCATCCCTCAGGAGAAGAAGGGATGTTTAGCACAAAAGGATGAGAAGATAGCGAGAATAAATACATAATCAGACCCATCCCATAAATGAAATAATGTAACCTCTATGTTAAGTTCCATTGTAATAATCCCAATTGCTGAGCTGGATACATCAGAAGGTAGCATAAATCAATTTCCAAACACTGTTTCCAAATAGATAAATGAAGTGAAAAACATCATCACTATGCAAGCTAGTGACTCCTAGGAAATAGAACCAGCAGCCAGCAAGACAGAGTGCACTGTTTCTGTTTTAATGAACTACTCTGAACAAAATGGATTTTCATAGAGCAAGTCTGATTGTCACTAAAGTAGCTCTTACTGTGCCACTATGCATGCACAAGAACTGTTACTAAAGGAGAGTTGCTTACTTCTGAAGCAGTACAAGTATCTCCAGTATATGATCTCGCATGACTTCACGGTTGCTCCTTGTCGCTGATTCTTTATATAATAGAACAAGCTCGTCCACCAGCCTATACACAAAAGAAATGGATTTGAAGTCACTCGTTAGTTAATAACGCATTATTCCAAATTTCAAAAAAATAACACATTATTCTGACTTTGGATCAGGAATATTTGATGCTATAATATAGGGAGCACAGCAAGCAGAATTTGATAAGTAAGAAGACATATATCACATCTTCTAATACCTTAAAGTATAAGGTGACTTCCTGATCCAGGTAAGCTTGATAATGGCATGTATTTGCTTTAAAGTCTGAAAAAATATTCATGGATCAAATTCATAGAAAAAATCCATAATCAATTAGGTTAACAAATTCCATATCCATAAATTGGTGACATTATCTGATAGGAACAAAAATGTGAAGATGTATTATAGTACTTTCTTTTAATGCTAATTAAGAACCCGAACATTTTCCTTACCAGAAGAACTGTTTTATCATCATCAGTGTGAATCCATTGGAAAAAGAGTGAGAAAAGGCGGCGAAAATGTGCCAATAGGAAGAGGCCCATAGCATCGAAAACTGGCCCAATAAGGGTCAGCCACGCAACACGGCGCTCTTTATTTAGTGGCTGCCGTTCCAGGTGGCCCAACATCTCACTAAGCATTCGATCATACCTGGAACCAGTTTAAAAAAATGAAGTTGAATAAAAGAAAGACGAGGGAGTTCAAGAAATATAAACATATTTTGTGGATGTTCATACTAGAGCCGAGCAAGATTTTGCAATGGAAGCATGAACTCATATAGAATGCAAAATATCAGCCAATAGTCAGCTCAATCACTTAGATATTGGTTGTGTTATCCACAGTTACCACTAATGTTTTACCTATAGGTTGTTCAGCAATGATTCTGCATCTCCCAATATAACTACAACAAATGCTATATATCCCTTAAATATGTTCAACTTTTTGGTCCAACCCATTCAATTCACAAATATTTATTTTTCACAAGCTAGCTGTGCCTCATTTAAACAAAGGCAATCATTTTTCCCTGAGCCATCTTCCTCTAATTTTTTGGTGCAAAATTTAAGGGATACCATACTACCATAGTGCACAGTTCAAAAACTGAATTGAGTCATAGAAATACATATTTATCATATAAAATTCTGAATGTCCACAGTACAGTTCAAAAAAGGATTTAAATTAGAGAGAAACTTTACCAAGGGCTCCGAGGATTGCTCCGCTGTGTGTATGTCAGCAACAGCACAGATACCTCAATAACCTGGTACCATAACTCATCATCCGCAGGAATGTTCTGACAGCATGCGTCAAGTATGGCATCTTCGTACAAACTTAATTCCGTTACTTTCACATTCTTCGCTATGTGTACAAAACTAACCATTCCCTGTACCTGTCAGTTATATGGAACAATGTCCATCAACAGGGCCAAATCTTGAAATGTAATTAGAAGACAAAATTTAAATGAATGGTACTGAGACAAAGTTGGCACTAACATACAGTCTATACTACTGTTATCCCCAGTAGAGAAACCAAAACAGCACTGTACCTTAACTTCTGGTGACCAATGATCCAAGGTTGTCAGGGCACATGGAATGACTAACCAACACAAATCCCCAAGCTTAGGGTAACTTACCTGAAATACAAAAATAGAAACTGAAGTAAACATCTCTATGCAGCCACATCACTACTGCTTCACTTACTGATACAGTTCTGCTGCTGCTTATGCTAGTACTACAAGTTAAAATGTTCTCATACCAGTAAGATTATATCCAAAGAGTACCAAATTCTCCCAACATGTATCATCAGCTTCTTTTGAACTTCTAGTCTTATTATAACCAAACCATTGGCAAGAACAATGCCAAAGCACCCATCACGGAGCACAAACCTGAGACACCAGCCACCGGAACTGGTGCGCGGCGACCGCAGCGTGCTCCTTGGGCGGCTTCACAGCGCCAATCTCGTCGCTGTCAGCGTCGACGCACGAGTCCTTCACCACGGCCTTGAGAAGAGGCACCACCTCCGGCGCCACGGCCACCATCATCTCCCCGACGCTGCCCCAACCTCCCGCCGCCGCCATCTCCTTCACCGCGGCGGCGCCCGCGCCCGCGAGGCCCGCCGGGACCCAGTGCAGCGCGGGGTACTCCGGGGAGGCCGCGAGGACGGCGGCGCAGAAGAGGAGGAGGTCCCCGGCCTCCTTGGCCGCCGGCGCCTGGGCCTGGGGCGGGGGAGGGGAAGGCGAAGGGAGGAGGGCGGCGAGGAGGGACTTGACGGAGGCGGATGAGCCCGCGGGGGGCTCGTACGGCGCCGCGGCGAGCGAGTCACGGAGCGGCGCGGAGATAGTGAGCAGAGCGGCGCGGGGGACCGCCGCAACGGCGGCGTGAGGCATGGCGGACTGGAGGGTTGTAGCGCCTGGTCGCCGGTTGCCGCCGGCGTCAGTGAAGGGTCGTTTTTGCAAAACTCCACCTGCCATTTTTTGTAAAATTATTAATTGGGCCTCGTTTAGATTGCAATTTTTTTGTAATCTGGACACTGTAGCACGTTTCGTTTGTATTTGAAAAATTTTATCCGATCATAGGCTAACTAGGCTCAAAAGATCCGTCTCGTGATTTACAAACAAACTATGTAATTAGTTATTTTTTTACCTACATTTAATACTCCATATATGTGTTTAAAAATTAATAAGAGAGAAAGAGTGAAAAAACTTGAAATTTGAAGGTGATCTATACAAGGCTTGGGCCAGCTGGGGCAAAATACAACGATCTTTTCCACATGAACAGGCCCGACCGGGGGACCAGTCCAGGTCGTATGCGACAGGCCCACAGGGAAAGCACGATGGGGATTGCAGGGCAGGTGGCAGGACGCCATAGGCTAACCCAGCTGTACCTCACCTCCCAGATCGTTCCAGTCCCCTTCTAGTTATCCCAGCTTTAACCAATTTTAGGATAGAGTTCACACGGTATTAGGAGTGTAACTATCAACGGAAAAAGCTTGGCAAATACAGTACAAATAAAAGCAGAAAAAAACATGAATCTTGGGGAAAAAATCATTTAAGCAACATGGCACCCATAATAAACACAATAAGCATCGGTGACATCACACTTCACTGTAAAAATTCACACTTACCATTCTTCGTCTCGCCTGCAACAGTGGTTAGTTTTTGCATCTACCTTAATAGTGTTTGGGGAAAAAATAAGTATTTGTACCAGTGAGTGAGCCTACGAGCGAATACTACGGGCAGCGTCAGCAGACAGACGCACGCACGAGCGAAAACTACGGGCAGCATGAGCAAGCAACCAGACCAGCTTGATCCCATCGCAGCCGTCGACGTACCCCCACGGTGACGATCCAACGGTGCAGATCTCCCGGACCGGACGCTTCGAGTGCACGGGGCGAGGCGGTTGAGGGGCACTGTGCCCTTGTCCCGTTGTCCGGTCCACTCGTTGCGTCCCCGCCGAGACAGCGAGGCTTCCTCCCAATTCCAAATTCCAACCCAAGCCCGAACCCAGGACCTCCGTCCATTCCGCTCGCGGCTGCCTCCGCCCTCCGCCCTCCGCCCAAAACCCAATCCAGAGCCAGGCCAATCGCGCGCGTGGCATCCATGGGCTGACCGCGTCGCGGTGGGGAGCCCGGATCCGGAGCTAGGGTTCCGCCGTCCTCGGCGGCACCGCCATGGAGTGGGACAGCGAGTCCGACGGCGCCGGCAGCGTCGGCGCCGGCGAGGAGGAGCAGGAGCAGGAGGAGGGGGAACGGGGAGGCGAGGGGGGAGGTGGCGACGCCGGGGGCGCCGGTGGGATGTTCACGTTCGCGATTGAAGGCATGCTGCGCGCGTCCGGGCCGTGCGGGCTCGTCGTCACCGACGCGCTCGAGCCCGACTGCCCCATCATCTACGTCAACCGCGGCTTCGAGGAGGCCACGGGCTACCGCGCCGAGGAGGTCCTCGGCAGGAACTGGTCGGTGCTACCTTATCCCGTATATGCTTTCATTTCGATTCGTCACTCAACCAGTTTCATTTGGTTGCAAGGATTGCTCTGTGCCACTTAGAATCATACGGAACCTACTGTTAGTTCTTTTGTTAGCTATATATGCTTGTAAGCATCTGCGGTCATGATTCTGTTTCTTAGAAACGAGCTTAGACTCTCATTTTAGCTGTTAGAGTAGTCTCCCCTTTCAACTGGTCACACACCAGTTTCATTTGGTTGGAAGGATTGATCTGTGCCACTTAGAATCGAGCAAAACTTACTGTTGTTGTTAGTTCTTTACTTAGCTGTACGTTGTAAGCATCAATTGTTGTCATGAATTTGAGTAAGAGAGCTTAGACTGGGAGGTGCTCATTTTAGCTGTTAGAATACGCTTCAAGGGTTGGCCTCCTCTTGCTATTGTTAGGTGCAAGGAAGCAAGACGTAGTATTACGTTTTTGTTTGTTTCATCATGGTTTCTGTGTTGGTGATTGAGTATAAAAATGCGGTTGCAATAATAGGTGTGTAGCAGGACTGGTCGGTGCTACCTTATCTCTTTTGCTTTCCTCGATTTGTTTCACAACAATTTGGTTTGGCTACAAGGATGGGTCTGTGCCACTTAGAGCAGAGCTTACTGTTATTTCTTTTGTTAGCTACGTTACAAGCATCCTTTAGTATTAGAGGTGATCTTAGAGTGAAGGTGCTCAGTTTAGGTGTTGGAATACTCTTCCTTTCAGCAAAATAGCAAGTGGCATACTGGCATCCTTTTGCTACTTTTAGGTGCAAGGATTGCTGCCACTTAGAATCGAGCTAATATGTAGTATTGCTTATCTGTTTGTTGTCATGGGTTTCTGTTTTCATAATTTTAAATATTATTAGAAGTTATTCGGCTTTGCTATTAGAACACACACATAGAGTGAACTGGAAATAGTGGCTTCATTTTGGTACTCGGATTCCTCTCTACTGCTTGTGTTCATTAGCTGCTAGAAAAGCCTTTCCTGCTAGCGCTGGTTGTCTATTAGAAGCGAGCTTAGACTGTAAGGTTCTTAATTTAGCTGTTATAATGCTCTTCCTTTCAGCAAAATAGTAAGTGTCTTTCATTTGCTATTATTAGGTGGAGTGATATCCATTTCAGCAAAACCATAGTATTGTTTCTTCTTTTTTCTGTTTCGTCATGGGTTCCTGTTTTGGTGATTTTGAGTATTAGAAATGCAGTTAGAATGGTAGCTGTTTTGTTTTTCTGTTACATTAGCTGCTAGAAAAGCCTTTCCCGCTAGCGCTGTTTGTGTATTAGAAGTGAGTAGGCTGGAGGGTTCTTTGTTTAGCTGTTATAATGCTCCCCCTTTCAGTGAAATAGCAAGTGGCATCCATTTGCTATTATTAGACGCAAGTGGCATCAATTTCAGCAAAAACGTAGTAGTACTTTTTCTTTGTTCTGTCATGACGGTTTCCTGTTTTGGTGATTTTAAGTATTAGAAATGCAGTTAGTATGATAGGTGCTTGATTTTTCTGTTATATTAGCTGCTAGAAAAGCCTTTCCCGCTAGCGCTGTTTGTGTACTAGGAGCGATCTTAGACTGGAATGCTCTTCCTTTCAGTGAAATAGCAAGTGGCATCAATTTGCTATTATTAAGTGCAAGTGGCATCCATTTCAGCGAAAGCGTACTATTAACTTTTTTTCTGTTTCGTCATGGGTTCCTGTTTTGGCAATTTGAGTATTGGAATTGCGGTTAGAATGACAGGTGTTTGGTTTTTCTGTAACAAGACTTGCACTTTCAGTGAAATGGAAAGTAGTGGCATCCTTTTGCTACTTTGGGCTTCCCCTCTACTGTTTTTGTTCATTTAGCTGGTATAAAAGCTGCACGAACAAACCACAGCTCTCCGAGTAGCTCAGCTGGTATGTACGATGCACAAGTGAATACTACTGGCAGCAAGCAACCAGGCCAACTTAATCGCATCTCAGCCAGTACATGTAACCTCATGGCCATCACCCAATGGTGTTGCGGACCGGATTCTTACGGTTGACGGCCACTGTACCCTTGTCCCATCCACTTATCAGTGTCCGACTCACTCCCTGAGATTCCAACCGAGCGTGAACCCACCATCTCTGCATTGAAGGCATGCTGTGCGCATCTAGGCCGTGCGGGGTGGTCGTCGACTCGTCGTTGATGCTCTTGAGCCCAACTGGCCCATCATCTATGTCAACCGCAGCTTCGAGGAGGCCACGGGTTACCGTGCCGAGGAGGTGTTCGGCATGAACTGGTTGCTGCTATTTTATCCCATAATATGCTTTCCTTTCAATTCGTTACACACTATTTTCATTTGGTTCCAAGGACTCATCTCTGCCACGTAGAGTCGATGGTTCTTTGTTAGCTAATAGGTTTTAAGCATCTGTTGTTGTGATTTTGAGTATTAGAAGCGAGCTTAGACTAGGAGGTGCTCAGTTTAGCTGTTGGAATACTCTTCCTTTCAGCAAAATGGACTGGCATCCTTTTGTTTTTAGGTGCAAGGATTACTGCTGCTTAGAATCAGGCATCTGATTGTGCAGACTGCAGGGTTTGCCTAATTGAAAATTTATTAGAATCACGTTCTGATTCTTTTTACTCTGGATTAGAATCAAGTCGATTTATTCTAGATTAGAATTACTTAATCATATCTCTTCCAGCATGTGAGTTACCTTTGATACTTCTCAATTATAATGATTTCAGTCTAGGATTGTTTGGCATGATACCATACTACTGATTACAAAGAAAATCGTTTGCTTGGCTTTAACTGGCATGATATTGATGTTTTTTGGGTCATGTCCTTCAATATTGTTTGGAGAGAGAAATATCTACCCCAACTTGCTTGGGACTAAAAGGCTTTGTTGTTGTTGTTGCAAGTTAGCACTTCAGATGTGAATCAATAGATTGATTTCTAGGGAAAGAAAATGATTGACCTGATTAGTCGAGGGTTTATGTTTAGTCAGTCTTTTACCTGTCCAGTTTGCTGGAATAATTTTGTAATTGATGATTGAACAGTTAATACTTGATAATGGTCGATACTCAAGAGGTCTGATGCGATTTTCATCTGTACTCTGAAAACTATGGTAGCTGCTCTATGGTAGGTACATGTGATTTAGAGGGATTTCCAAGATATTAGCCTAGACGAAAATTGCACCAACAAGCTGTAACTCGAAACAGGGAACATAGAGTAGTGTAAGGAAATGATTAACTGGGAATCTGTAATTCTGCTAAAAGTAGTAGATAAAAGTGAAGATTGGAAAATACCGTGAATGCACATTGGGTCCTAAACTTGCTTTTGCTTCTTGATGAATGCACATCAATTCTTTTAAAACCTTGTATTTGAGTAAGACTTGCAGATACATGATTCATATCAGTAACTAGTAATCCAAGTGCACTTTGGTGTTCTATATGTTGGATTATAGTTCCAAGATATCTAAGATATTTAAAATTCCGTTTGTATCCAAATAGGTACAATACTTATCCATCTGCTATAATGCAGTTGTATCGTCAAATAGGAATTTAGAGTGAGCCGAACATGCCACTTTATGTCTAGTTTGCAGATTTATATGTTACACCCTATGCAAGTAGATGTTTAGCGTCCTGTGGTGTAGCTTAGTTGGTTACCTTGTTTTGGCTCCATATCAACATTCTTACCCTGTGTATTTAAGTATATTCTCTCGCATTTGTTGTGTTTGGCTGCCAAACACCATTGTTCATGTTAAAACATGCAAGGATTTAGGTATTGTCATGGGCTAAGACAACCGTACTCGGATTTTTGTGGTTGGCAGCTCCTGTCTGCATGCATCTCTCATCTTCGATTGTTTCATTATTTTCCTAAATTATGCCACAATAATACAATATAACCTATGCAATTTATTTATTGCTCTATTTACTGTGATATTTCTTCTCTCTTTCAGCCGATTCCTGCAGTGCAGAGGACCATTTGCTCGAAGGAGGCACCCCCTAGTTGATGCTGCAGTGGTATCAGAGATTCGAAGATGCATAGACAATGGCATTGAATTCCGTGGTGATTTACTAAATTTCAGAAAGGATGGAACTCCATTGATGAACAGGTTGCATCTGACCCCTATATATGGAGATGATGAAACCATAACCCATCATATGGGCATTCAGTTCTTCACTGATGCTAATGTTGATTTGGGACCATTGCCCTGTTCAATGACAAAGGAACCAGTGAGGTCAACACGGTTTGCTCCAGATAACTCATTTCAACCCATTTCTACGGGCCAGAGCACAGCAATTTCTGCCGGGAATATTCTAGCCTCTTCCAATTAACAGATGAAGTGCTTTGCCAAAGTATACTGTCAAGGTTGTCACCAAGAGATATAGCGTCTGTGAGCTCTGTGTGCAGGCGCTTGTATCATTTGACAAGAAATGAAGATCTCTGGAGAATGGTTTGCCAGAATGCTTGGGGTAGTGAGACTACTCGAGCTCTTGAGACAGTGCCGGCCGCAAGAAGGCTGGGCTGGGGTCGGCTGGCAAGAGAACTGACAACCCTGGAAGCTGTTGCCTGGAGGAAATTGACAGTTGGGGGTGCAGTGGAGCCATCTCGATGCAATTTCAGTGCCTGTGCTGTGGGGAACCGTGTTGTTCTCTTTGGCGGGGAAGGTGTTAACATGCAACCGATGAATGACACGTTTGTATTGGATTTAAATGCTAGCAATCCAGAGTGGAGGCATATCAATGTGAGCGCAGCTCCTCCAGGTCGCTGGGGCCATACTCTGTCATGCTTAAATGGCTCTTGGTTGGTTGTTTTTGGTGGATGTGGAAGGCAGGGTCTGCTTAATGATGTATTCATGTTGGATTTGGATGCAAAACAACCAACCTGGCGTGAGATACCTGGAGTTGCACCCCCAGTTCCACGTTCATGGCACAGCTCCTGCACTTTGGATGGAACGAAGTTGGTAGTTTCTGGTGGCTGTGCTGATTCAGGTGTACTCCTCAGTGACACATATCTTCTTGATGTAACCATGGATAGACCAGTTTGGAGAGAAGTTCCTGCATCCTGGAAACCACCTTCTAGGCTGGGGCACTCAATGTCTGTGTATGATGGCAGGAAGATCCTGATGTTTGGTGGTCTTGCTAAGAGTGGCCCTCTGCGGCTCCGGTCTAGTGATGTGTACACAATGGACTTAAGTGAAGAAGAGCCTTGCTGGCGATGCCTCACTGGTAGTGGAATGCCTGGCGCTGGAAATCCAGCTGGTGCAGGTCCACCTCCTCGCCTGGATCATGTTGCTGTGAGTCTGCCAGGTGGAAGAATTTTGATATTTGGTGGCTCAGTGGCTGGTCTTCACTCAGCATCACAGCTTTATCTGTTGGATCCAACTGAAGAAAAGCCGACCTGGAGAATACTGAATGTTCCTGGGCGCCCTCCCCGGTTCGCCTGGGGCCACAGCACCTGTGTTGTTGGCGGAACAAAAGCGATAGTGCTTGGTGGACAAACTGGAGAAGAGTGGATGCTTACAGAAATACATGAGCTTTCTTTGGCAAGCAACTCAGTTTGAGTTCCGGAAGGGTTTCTAGTAAAGTTCCTTGCAAATTAGTGCGGCTTCTCATGCAACCTGAAGCTTGATTTGTCTTCACCAGCATAACTAGAAAAATGAATGATGAGCATACTGAATCTTATGGCAGTTACTTGGATTTACTTGGAAGATGGTATGGTTTCCACTGGTTTGCTCGCTCTACGTAGACAAAGGGTAGTGATATGTTCATTTTTATTGCCGTTTGTTTGGCCTTTTTTACCAGATAATTATAATTCATAAGCTACTATTGTGGAATGAGTACCAAATTTTATATGTATCCTCAGATGTTTCTGACTTGCAATATGTTAGGAAAACAAAAGACTATACCCTGTATATAGTTTAATCTTTTGATGTACGGTACATGGAAAACTTGAGGCTGCTGTCTTGTGGCACAGGCGCACAGCTTAGAAGGCGTGATGCATGGTGATCACCGATCAACCATGTTTTTGTATAGAACTTTGTAATATGTAGAAATTTCAGTCTGGTGAGCTTAGCTCAGTATCGGTTTACTTGTCTTTTATTTCACATGTTGTATTATCATGGACATGATTAAGGACAGTGGTTATGTTTATGCAACAATGCCAAACTTGAAGTGTAATTAATTGTTTTCAGGAGAAACTTGATAGGATCATACTCGATGGTAAACGTATCGAGAGGAGGTTGCAGTTCCTCGTCAGGCTGCAGGTTGCCAGATAAAATTTGTAGTCAAGTGATAGCATAAGGGGCGTCTACTCTGCATGTTAACGTTTTGCCTTCCTCACGTCCAAAGTTTGAAACCTTGGATCAAATCTAATGGGTGCTAGCCTGACCATCACCCAAATTTGTAACCGTGTGTGCAACACCCTAAGAAAGAATTCATGTGCCTTTTAGGTGTTTTATCACTTGTTGCAAAATTTTGGATTTTTTTTAGTGGTCAACATTTTAATGTTCAGTGACAACTGACATCATCGCTGTAGCTCGTTAACTTCAATTGCTGGGTGGAGGGCTGCTGGACGCGGACGTGTTACGTGTAGAGCCCGTCAACCATCGTGCGCCGAGTCCACACCAGCTCGGCTGCTCCGCGTCGCATCTGTCCTCAGTCCTCATAAAACAATGGAGTACGTAGAGTAGTAGTAGTGCTAGTGCACCACTGTAGTATACACTCGTCTGTTTGACACGACATACATCAGCAGCAGCTGCAGTAGTGCAGTCTGCATTGGCACCCATTTGCACGGGGAACTGAAGACCATTTTGGCCCCGTTCGCTTCGCTGAAAAAAGAAGTCAAAATAATGTTCCGATTGATTTGTTGTGAGAGAAAAATACTGTTTCGATCAAAAAAAAAAGTTAAAAAATACGGATTATAAGATAAACGAGCAGGACGTTTATACGGTTTTATCTCTGCCCATCTCCCACTTGACTGAATCAGTCAACCAACCACCCCGTCCCATAAAAAAAACGTCTTCTCACTCTCCAAAAAGTAAAGCATTTTAACCTTATTAATCAAATATATATATATAATATTAATTTTTTTGATATATAATTGGTATGATTAGATAGATCTTTAAATATATTTTTATAATAAATTTATTTAAAGATATAAATATTGCTAATATTTTACGAATTTAGTCAAATTTAAAAAAAATGATCAACACAAATCATATAGTGAGCCTTTTATGGGATGGAGGAAGTAACACAGACATGAATCCGTTTAACTAGACAGACTTGTACGAAAAACCGGACCGAATCCTCTTATTCTCTCATTCCACAACAGAGTATAAATTTAGTATGGTACTTTCTCAGTTCCAAAATAAGTGTTTATCTCGCATTTCGAGGAGTTAAATATTTTTACGTTGGACAAAAATATAGAAAAAAATACAAATATTTATAATGCCAAATAGGCATATTAGATCAATCATGGCATGTATTATCATAGTTAAACACATTTAGAGATACAAATATTAATGAAGGAGGGAGTCGTGCTTCACTCATCACGGAAGTTGTGTTTGCATGTCCTCACTTAATGTAATACAGGAGTAAACTCTATCCAATTCAAATTGTTACATATTTATAGGATCATGACTTTCTGTCAAGCTTCTTTTACGCTCGAGCATAAATTACTCCCTCTGTTGAAAAAGACGCAATTTTTAGATGCATTTTTTTGTTTCGATATCCAAAGTTTGACCAGATCTAGTGCTTTTGACACCAAATGAACATATTATGAAAATATACCTCGTGAAAAATTTAATGATATTTATTTTATATCACAACTATTTATATTTTTATATACATAATTGATCAAGTTTAATATACTAAAATACTAGACTGGTAGAATTGTTTTTTTTTTGGATAGAAGGAGGGCTACTCCATGTCACTAGCAAATGCCAAATAAAATGAATAATGCAAAGAACGAGGACCAGGAAGAGGTTTGCTTGCTGCCTGCTGCCGTGATGGCATATTCGTTTGAACTTATCAATCGGCTTATCAGCTGGAATCTACAATATTTTTCTCTCATAACAAAACAGCATCAGCCAGCTTTAATACCAGCCGAACCAAACAGCGCCCAGGCCGGACGCTCTTTTTTGCCTATGGACTTGGCCCGTTGGACGAGTCGGGCGTAGCGGTGCGGGCAAACGGGCAACGGCCCAGGCGTGCAGCTGAGCAGGGCGGGGAGCACCGAAGGGCGCGGAGGCAGGCAGGCAGCATGCATGCCAGCATCGAAGAGCGGGAACCGGGGTTGCGGTCTGGATCTGGCAAAGCGAGCAGCGACGCGAGGGTGAGTGACACGCGGACGGACCCTTTGCATTGGGCGACTACCCGACCGCCACAGCCCACAGCCTCTACGCTACACGCCAGCCACTCCTACTTCCTAGACTTGACTGGTTAGTGAAGACCGCTGCGCTGCATGCCAGCCGCGAATCCTCGATAAAGATGGAAGAGATACGTTTCATACACGAAAAAAAAAGATGGAGTAGACATTTAGGCTTACGGGAGCAAGAAACCCGGACGTAAAAATCTTATATAAATTAACGAATGGTTCCGGGCCGGACTCCTTCCGGGAGCTCATTCTCCAGGAAACGAACGGGGCGTTAGGGGTGTTCGGTATTTTTTATTTACTAAACGGTTTTAGTTCTACTCACTCTATTCGAGAGAAAGCGGTAGAGTTATGACAGCATCTAAAGAGGTGCTTCACAAACTCCAGTTTTTTATAGAGCTATGAAACAAAGTTCCTCTTTCACCTGCTTTTTATCCACCACAGTGTAATGTACTCCCTCCCTCCCTCCAAAAATATTTATGAGTTGATTAATCATGAATACCATGTGTTATATACTCTTACTTTAATCTTTACTTGCATAACGATCTTCCAAAACTATTTAAAGAAAGATACTCCCTACATTTGAATAACCATGCAATTCTAGCTCTCTACCTTTTATCCCACAAAATACAACTTCAACCTTATAGAACTGCTCCGTTCTTCCAAGTAAACATCAAAATAGAACCGTCCTGCCCCTAACCGTTCCATTCTACCTCGTTCGATCTCTGCAACTATGAGCGGCGACACGAGGGTGAGACTCGAATGCTCGGGCGACTAGGCAAGACTCGAAGAGCCGTAGTGAATGCTTGTCTTGTTGCCTTGTTGGACCTTTACGGAGGCAGTGACTAGGGCCATGGCCCTAGACCTAGACCTGCCCCTGCATATATTGGTTAACCGTTTACGGTATGGACACATAAGGCCTTCGGCAGCGTGGGAGTAGTGCTAGGAAAAACATCGGCTCCCACAGCTAAAACAGAAATCGCTCTTCAAGTGCGGTAATGTCAAGTAGCTGGCATCACTCTATGGCCTCCACACACAGCTTTTTCTGTCAGCTTGGTTTGGCTGATAAGTAATAGTTGAAAGTACTGTTGATTAATTTATTGTGAGAGAGATAATATTCGTTGACTGAAAAAGTACGATTTGTAAGCCAAACGAACAGGGCGGTAGAGCACCATGAAAATCGTTTTCTATTGATGAGTGGGAGCAGTTTAGGAGCGACGCAAGTAGTTGATTCGCTCTCGGTTTCTTGAGCATTACTGAAAGTTACCACCACAGGCTGCAGTGGCAAGAGCAATTCCTAAGGTTTCTCTCTCTTTTCTAAGCATCACTCAGGCCACACATTGCAGAAGGCTTAAATAAGTATATTTCTTGTAACTTTTCTCTATCCGATTTTATATTTGCATTAAAAATCATAGAATATCTGAAAGATTATATACATGGTGAAACTATTTAGAAGTTATGTTTATGGCAAATGATTAATGACTAATCATATAAATTTAATATTTAAATACAGATATTAAGTTAATTTGATATTGTCTTAATTTAATTTGAGTATTGTTGTAAATCATATTTCGATGCACTACTCAATTTATTGTTCTTGAATAATATCTTTTACGCACTTTACTTCATTAATTACTTTATAAATGTTTTTATATATGATTGAAATAATTATTTATCTATAGATCTTCATTTTTATATTTAATAGTTTAAATATTTAGTTGATGAATCCTAAACACCATGTGCTACCTGTTTTATATACTCTTACTTTGATCTTTACATGTATAAAGATATTGTTCTTCCAAAGCTATTGATAAAAAGAAAGATACTTCCTCAGTTTGAATAAGCTCGCATTCTAGCTCTTTATCTTTGTCCCACAAATAATACAACTTTAGCCTTATAATGTAGCATGTATAGTAGGTCCCATTTAGTAAAAAATATCTACAACACCATATCATGATTCCATTCTCATCCCCACAACTTCCATCTTATTATCCCCTCTTCTCCACTTATAAGCCAAACAAACCAAAACAAATAGGACGTATGATCGTGTTGCGGTACTATGAAGAAGATTGCCTTTGGAACAGTGGACCAAGCTTTGACAGATGATCGGCCCCGTTTGGCTTGCTGAATCTTAGCTGAAATTGGCTGAAAAATACTGTTCTGGCTGAAATATTATGAGAGAAAAACACTGTTCCGGCTGAAAAAAGAAGCCGAACAAGTCGGATTTAAGGTAAGCTGAACGGGCCAATACCTCGTGACGATGAACTCCACAGCGTCGGAGAAGTTCGAGCACAGTCGCTGGCGATGGGTGAGGCCCCTTCCAGACCAATCTACAGCATGTTCGGCTGGCCAGCTTTGGCTGGCTGGCTGGCTTTTTTTCCAGCCAGAGCAGTGTTTGCCTCTCACAAAATTCTAACATGAACAGTGTTTTCGAGCTACTACAGGAGAAATTTAATACCAGCCGAGCACCCTGCTAGCAGCATTTGCCGTGGCCGCACCATCATCCATCCTCCTCTCACGCGGTGGTCTTATCACCGGCACAAAATTCTAACATGAACAGTGTTTTCGAGCTACTACAGTAGAAATTTAATACCAGCCGAGCACCCTGCTAGCAGCATTTGCCGTGGCCGCACCATCATCCATCCTCCTCTCACGCGGTGGTCTTATCACCGGCTAGCTAGCGCCGCCCCTTCTTGTCCTGCATTGGTTTGCCTCCCCACAAGCCAGCCTCGTCCCTCCTAGCTTCCCACGAGCTACGGCCGGCGCCGCTGTCGCGAGCAGCGTGATGGACCGCCGACCGGCAATCACGGGCGAGCGCAGGAGGGCGGCGGTGGGAAAACAATATTTTTCTCTCACTATATTTCAATATAACCATTAATATAAGCTAACTGAACAGGTAACTGGCTCGACAGGCACGTATATAGCAACACTACTATTCGAAATCTAAAATAAAAATCAATATCTAACTAACCAGCATTCGAAATCAACCCATTCTATTTCCACACCTAAAGTTAGTTTCTATCAGATCGTATGTTTGACATATCATGGAGTATTAAATATAGACTAATTATGAAATTAATTGCACAGATTGCGACTACTTTACGAGACGATTTTTAAGCCTAATTAACCATGATTTGATAATATGGTGCTACAGTAAAACTGTAGTAAACATGTGCTAACGACGGATTAATTAGGTTTAATAAATTCGTCTCGCAGATTCCCGAACACTTTTATAATTTGTTTTATTATTATTATTTAAATATTCTCATATAACACTCCAATGTAACACCTCCCATGTAACACCCAGTATATCATCCTCAACTTTATCCCCTGAAATCTAAACACCACCCTGATCGGACCGGTGGAACAAATTGGACACCCCGGGATAAGCCTCGTTTAGTTGGCGAATTTTTTTTGGAAATGGTACTGTAGCACTTTCGTTGTTATTTGGTAATTAGTGTCTAATCATAGTCTAATTAGGCTTAAAAGATTCGTCTCGTGAATTTGGTCTAAACTGTGTAATTAGTTTTATTTTTTATTTATATTTAATACTTCGTGTATACGTTAAATATTTGATGTGACAAAAAATCTTAAAAAAATTTGTAAAATTTTGAGAACTAAAGAGGCACCAAGAAGATGTGAGGCAGGATGTGACCGGCTAGAAACTAGAGACCAGGCTACCCGACCGCGACAGCCCACAACTTCCTTGACTAGACTGGCAGTAAAGACCGCAAAAGTTGGAGATAACGTGGACTTTTTACGCTGGTACCTGGCCTAATTGTTTATCACGTGTACTTGGCCCAACTGCCTGGACTAGGTTATATGAGAAGGCCAGGTCCCATACTCTACGGCTACTCGGTCCAACTGCCTGGACTAGGTTATATGAGAAGGCCAGGTCCCATGCTCTAGGGCTCCACTTCGGTCGCCTGTCTCGAATAATGGACAAATTTTGCAAATCTTTTGGTTACTGGTACCACGTCTTTTTTTATCTTATATACTAACATAAATAAAAGCTCTGCTGTTTAGCCGTGCTCCACGTCATCCACAAAGCGATTCTCAACAGAGTATTTTGCTCCAAATGTGCTCTGTTTTTATCTTATATACTAACATAAATAAAAGCTCTGCTGTTTAGCCGTGCTCCACGTCATCCACAAAGCGATTCTCAACAGAGTATTTTGCTCCAAATGTGCTCTGCTACCCCACCCACAGACCGCTGACCATTCGGGCATCAGTGTCGGCGAAAATATATTACTTCGATTTGTTTCTTTGCAGATCAAGATAGGATCAACATGATAGGGGCTCCGTTCACCTCGCTGAAAAAACAAGCCAAAACACTGTTTCGGCTAATTTGTTGTGAGAGAAAAATACGGTTCCGGCTGAAAAAAACAAGCTGAAAAGTACGGATTACGCAAATCGACACGAATATAAGTTAGCTGAAAGAATTTGCAAGGTCCTTGCCAGTTGTCATGGACCTCACCGGCAAGACCACTAAAACAATTGTAGTTCTAGCACGAAGGCAGCACGAAGCTCAATTATGTGGAGCACGATGAAGAATGTACCAGATTCCAGACATGTGTTTCTGAGCGTACTTAATTTAGAATAACACAGGTGAGTAGGGTCAAAAGGAAACGTCAAGAGGACGTACCTTCCCTGCTCATCTCAATTCTCAACACGTCTCTGAGCGATAGCATCTTAAACAAATTGAACAGCATCGCCGTGGATGATGGACCCAATCATCCAAATGGATAGCATGGAAGAAACCAGAGGATACTGGTAGCAGTTCAGTGCTTCCACCACGGGATCTCGTCAGAACCAGATAACCAGGCACCAGCTCAAGCAATGAAGCACTGTATGTCTGTACGGGGCATGTAGCTTTCCAGACAACTGTCTGACGGGGCCAGGGGGGAAAGCTTCAAATCGTGACACAAAACTTACACATGATTAAGCTCAAGATGGTGTCTTATCCAGTGTCTTCTCAGGAAAAACACATACCGCACCTGCAATGCCCGGCTCAGAAGCCCTTATCTGAAGCACTACCCAGAGGCAGAAGTTTCCAAACAAATCCTTTAGAGCTGACTGAAGTTTGTTTCAGGCTTTTATGTAAAACTGCGCTACATCGAAGAAGCATTCCAAAAAGAACTGTCACCAACATCCTATATAGATGGGTGCTAAATATATACAAAATAAAAACTAGGATCATGAGGCCTGTTTCAAACGAACAGCGGGGTTCTGTTGCTACTTTTTATGCACAGATAAGTTTAAACTGCGGCAGCACCTACCGCGGACAGGTGGAAAAGAAATTCAAATGAACGGAGGTACAATGGTTATGATGATCAATACATTGCATAACAGCTATTCCTTTTTTTTTACTGCAGACTAAGCATCAACGTCCATATCTTGTATCCCTACATCCAAAGAAGCATATGAAAAGAGTCAGATTTGAAAATTGAATTGAATTTTATCAGAGCTCCGTTAAAAGATACAAATACTATCAACAGATAACACTGATTCTATAGAAGAACCCTAAATATTCCCTCAAGGGTGTAAACAAAATTCCAGCATTCTTGGGTGATGCATACCTAAACAACATACATTAAAATTCTACCCCACGAAAATGCAACAGACAGAATAAATATTGTGATCCAGATGAAGCATTCATCATGCACATTAACACCAGCAGGCGCGACAGGAAACATGCCAAAGAGTAAGATATGATTGAAAAATATATATAGCTGAACAGCTCACCAGCTCAAGTTGGCATCATGACATAGATGTAAGACAAGAACAACAAGTACAGCATGCTTATGTTTGTCTTTCATGTTCTGTATTGTAGATCATCTATGTTAAGGATTTTATTTCGTTTATTTGGAATAGCATGAGCCCATTGTGCAACTGTGTATGTTTTTTTTCTTTTTGAAGGACCCGTGGTTCTTAGTACTACACATTTGCAAATTGCAATAGCATATACTCCAACAAATGCGAGGAAATTGAAAAAAGATTACTTATGCATACCTGTAATGGAAACTAGCCATTCTTCCTGGTGCTGCGATACTAGGAATGGCCCCTGTGACTATGTATTCATCATCAATTTCATCAAATCTAATTTCCCTTAATTCAACAGATTGTGTTGGAACCTCAAGATTAAAATTTTCCAGATTAGCCTGGTTCCCATTCCTCCTTCCACTGCCTCTTCTTTCCCTTGCTCTTGCTCTTCTACGACTTCTTGAAGATCTTGAAAACGCCTTGCAGAATATACATGACCACCAGTTCGTCCTGACACTGCGGAAAACTTCATAGTCCTCACCAGTGTCATCATCCCCATACTCAATCACATAGTCTCCCAGAACAATCCCATTAGGAACTTGTGAATGTATTGTGCTCAAGACATCTACAATATCAGAAGACTGCTGGAAATTCTCCCAATCAACTTGCCTAGCAGGATCAATCTCTGAAGGGCGTGAATCAGGATGCTTTTGTTGCGTGTGCTTCTGAAGCTCATTGAAGTTACCAATAAACGAGCAGCAATGCTCTTCACAGCACCTTTTCTTCTGATTAAGATGCAGCCGAGCCTCACCAATAACAATCCACCCAATAACATCACCTCTACACAAGGGGCAACTGGGACGGTTGTTTGCATTAGACGGCACAATATGAATAATGCTATCAAGAGGAGGCACAGCTAAGGATGAAACTTTCGCATTGGAAGGCAGTTCAGATGCAAACTTAAATCTCTCAAGACAGTTTGAGCGGGTCTGGTCTGTATCACAAACAAACGGCCTGCAGCCTTTCTCATAAGACGTGCATCTCAGTAGCACTGCATTGTGAGGGTAATCAAGGCAGATCGGGCAGGTAACGTCCTCCATCCAACTCTTATCAAGCTGTATGTCCAGATCAAAGGAGCTGTGCTTTACCACCTTCTGCACGATCAAGTTGCCTGAACCCATCGCGGACACGCAGACTTGCAACGAAAACTCTTGGCTCTAGCAGGCCCAGTTTTTCATTACAACCTACAAGACACCAATAGGGCAATCAGATCAATTCCAGCTTGCTCCTTCAAAAACGTAGTGCACAAATTCTGTGAGTGACAGTGAATAGACTGAGCATTTCGATCAAAAGGCAATATGATAAATGATGGTGTATGGCAGGGAACAAACACCCTAATGCCACAATCAGTCCATGTAATGAATCCCCTATAACCCCACATGACTCTTTGACACTAAAAACGAACTCACCCACCTAATGATTTGCCACAACCACAACTTCCAGTTCTGGTAAAACTCAAACGAATCCTAGAAAAAATCCTTCATCCCCAGAAGAGATCAATAACTACACCTGTGCCCGTTCTGGTAAAACTCAAACGAATCCCAGAAAAATTCCTACCCCCAGAAGAGATCAATAACTACACCTGTGCCAGAATCTGATTTCGACCCCCAAAATACCGCGTGGCCCAGGGGAGACGGGGTTCAGTTGAACTCCCCCCAAAAAAGAATCGGAAAATAAACCGCACGGCACGAACGCCTTAATCGGGCACCAATAACTAACTACTCACTTCTACGGCGCGGTGCCAACTGAGATGGGCGAATTTTGCGCGCTGATACCACGGGAGGGAGGGAGCGGCGGATTGTATCGGACTGGGCAGATTAGCTGGGTGAACTGAACCGACGAAGGGAATCGACTGCGAACGAAACCAACGGAAAGGGAAATCGAATCTATCTATATCCAGGCACGAGGCAGCTGGAGGGCACTCACCAACAACAGACGACGAGACCGACCGACGGCCGGACCGCGGATGGATGGATCTATGCTCCGCTCGACCCGTCGAGGGGCGGCGGGTGGAGGGAGGATCCGTCGGGCGCGGGGTGGGAGGGGCCGGCGTGGCGCTGGGCTGCGTGCGTCGTCGCCTCGGTGAGGAGTCTAGTCTAGGTTTGGAGGTGGACTTTTTAGAGCCATTTGCGCTTGCGTAGTTGCGTGCGACGAGTGGAGAGAAAGGCGGGCCGGCGATTGCAGCCACTCTCCTTTGACATTTTCCGCCGCTTGCCTTCCGTAGCTTTCCTTTTCAATTCTTTTCCCTTTTTATTTTCTTCCAGATGTTTGGTCAAGTGTTGAACACTGTATTTAAATTACGTAATAGTGGTCTGCTACCCATTTTAAGTTGCTAAAATTCCTCTTCATGTCATTCTCAAAAACAAAGATTATATTCATATAAAATTCATGTGTTCATTCATCGTTCTCAATATGGCCATATAATTCATTGGTGTACTCACTCCTCCGTTTCAAATTATAGCATTATAGTGTACTTTAGTTTTTATTGAAGTGGAATGTTCGATCATTTTCTTACAAGGCATTATTAGCATCTACAGTAAAAAATGTGCTATCAAGATATATTTTTAATAAAATTAATTTATTGTTTTTTAGATGTTGCATATTATTTCATAATAAACTTTAAAAAAATGACAAATGTCCTAAGCTAAAGTGAACAATAATATGGAACGACTTAAGTACAAATTAATTGGAAGAGTGTATGAGAGTGCTAATAACCCGTGACGGATTGAATTTCATGCGGAAACAGTAGGTATGTCAGCGTTAATAAAGTTTCAAAAGCGACTGTTCTTTTTTATTTCCACCCACGTCAAAACGTGAGAAAAATCGTCGTGTTGTAAACGGCAGAGTCAGAAGCACGTTTCTCCTTGACAGCGATGACGCGCCAAAGAGTAGGTCGGTGTGAATGACGCGTGCAGGGAAGAAGAGAATGTGGTACCAAATGGGAACTCCCTGCACCTCCCATCTACTACAGGTCACATCATCTGCTGTTTTGGTTTTTTTCCCCATCCAATCCAAAGGGAAACGACAACTTCGCCTACTCCGTACGTCCGATACAAGGGGAACGAATAGGAGTGTGTATATTACTCAGCGAGCGGTCTGGGGCGAGTTTAATTAATCTCTAGGATTAGCTCATGGCACACAGCAAAGAACAGAGAAGAAAAACGCACACATATATACTATACTAGCTGGAGGCCCCGTGCTTCGCACGGTTTTTTTTTTAATTTTCAGGTGTGAACGCAAAAAAAGGTTGGTACTGTTCCTTAGCGGGTCTGGCACTGTTCATTGTGATCCGTTACAGTATACGAGTCTGTGACGCGCTCGATGAACAGTATTGTCGACGTGACGGTCCTCAAACTTAAAGTTTTATATTATATATATAGATATTATATATTATATTATATTATATTATATATAGATGCCATAGATGTCCGGGTCCGGCGCAGGTCCTGAACAATTGCAAAACTAATAAAAAGGACCAAAATTACATACAAAATATCTGCTTTTGCGACTGAGAAGATCCAACCAAAAAAGGTACATGGAAGTTATATTCAAATTCGGACACATCTTAAGCACAATGATGATCAGTAATGGAAAAAAGAAAAAGAAAAAATTAGACACCATGATTCCATGAACGTCAAAGGGAACCTCCCAACACCATTATACGGGCGATTCTTGTGAAGGTCTCTGACAATTTTACCATCATTCCAGTTGTACTACTACTCTCCTAGATTGCAATTGCATCATCCCAATTCGCAATCCATTCTTCATTATTGATCATATTGATCCTTTTTTGCTGGCCTTTACATACCTACTCCTAGCACCACGCGAGGACCATAAGTAAGATCAGCCTTCTTCATCCTTACAGTTTTCAGCTCAGACTAAACTGTCACCAAACCCACGCTCTTGTATCTGAAGGGGGAACCACAAATACTGCACTTTATTAGTAAGGAGTAGAAGCGCTACTTTTTTTGAACGAAAAGCCTGAGCGCAAGTGCACGACCTGTCGTAGAAGAGGAAGGCCGCGGTTTCTTCTGAAGGTAATAGCGGATGAACTACCGACAACCCAGTGATCGGACACGAGTTCCTTTTCCACTCTTGTCTGTGATTACTAGCTCTGATCCGCTAATTCCAAGCTCAATGCCACAGTTACCATCAGCAGCAGCAACCAATTGCTTGTCGTTCACATCAGCATAACTGCAGTCAGAGCAGCATGGTTAGATTAGATGCGTGCAAATTCAGTTATTTTCATGACGCCAAAATAATACAGTATATTACTACTTGGTCACAAAAACATATTATGATGTAAGCAACTCATTCCATGTCTTTAAACCTATACATGATTCTAAAATTACAGTGCTAGTATTTTACCATAATAAATAACTGCAGTTTGGGGGCCATAATAATGATCATGCTTCTTGTGCATATGAACCATGCAGTCCAAATCTAGGCTTTTTACTACTTGCACAAAGCAGTTTTCCATCATGTTCACGGGAACAGGGAGAACCATTGACCTCTTGTAACTTGTAAGCAGGAGGAACTTCCGAACTTGTATAAGATCATCAAGTTAAGATGGTTGACCACCTACTGAGCCTCTCCGGTGACGGCATAGCCCATTGGGCTCAAAGGCAAGGTGACGGACGTTGGGCCAACAACATGGAGATGCAGCTGACGCTGCTATTCTTCACCACCACTGCCCACGGGCAGCTTCAGTGACTCAGTGAGAGCACCGTCGCTGTCTCGTGGATCCGCTCTCCGCAGCAAACCCTCGCCGCCTCGCGCTCCGCCCGCAGCATGGCGCCGCCGCCGCCGCCGCCGCCGCCGCCGCTGCCCGAGGAGCTGGTGGAGGAGATCCTGCTCCGATTCCCGCCCGACGACCCAGCACGCCTTGTCCAGGCCGCCCTCGTCTGCAAGCGCTGGTGCGCCATCGTCTCCGGCGCCGGCTTCCGCCGCAGATTCGGCAAGTTCCACCGCGCCCCACCCCTGCTCGGCTTCGTCTCCAATGTCCGCATCCAACGTCAACGCGGTGCGGTCGAATTCGTCCCCACCTGCTCCTTGCCCGCGTCCCAAGTCCACAGCCGCAAGGGGCACGTGCGCGTCGTCGACGCCCACCACGGCCGCGTCCTCCTCCACAGGATCTCCGCTGGTTGGAGTCTTCCCTGGCCCGATGTCCTTATGGTCTGGGACCCTACCACGGACGTGCAGGAAGAAGTGCCCTTTCCGGATGTGGCGCAGTACAAGCTCGACTGGACAGCGGCAGTTCTCTGCGCTGCCGGCGGCCCCTGCGACCACATTGATTGCCGCCCGGGTCCCTTCCTCATCGTTTTCGTGGGCTATGATCGGGAACATGTCGAGACAGTCCTTTGCACCTACTCATCCAGTACTGCATCATGGAGCAAGCCAATCTCCAGTAATCAGCTTCCATACGGCCGCTATATGTCCAGGCACGTTGCACATGTGGAGAGTGCACTCTATTTTGGGGTTCTCATGACAGATCATATTCTGAAGTTTGACTGGGAATCACAGGAAATTTCTTGGATTCAAATGCCACCTACATGCTCCAGCAAGTGGCCTTATGTGCTCACCACTACAGAGGGTGGTGGACTAGGGCTTGCCACCATACATGAGTCCTCCAAACTCTACATGTGGTCCAGGAATGATGTTTCTCAAGTAGATGCTACATGGACACAAAGCAGAGTCATTGAGCTTAAGACACTGCTCCCTGTTCATGCTGTCTTGGCCTCACCTAGACTGTTTGGCTTCACAGTTGGTACTGGTGTCATTTTTGTGAGGTCGAACAATGTTCTTTTCGTGATTGATTTAAAGACATATAAGGTGATTAAGGAGGTTTCCATGGCAAGCGAGATCTACACCATCATTCCTTACATGAGCTTCTACACTCCAGGTACAACTTTGCTTAGTTTTGGATTTTACAAGATTCTGGACGAGTGATATTTAGTTACCAATATGAAGTTTACATACTATGCTCAAGAAAAAAGAAATTTATAAAAATGGAATGCCACAGTCTAATATCAACTCAGTGGACCCTGTCTAGATCTTTTTATGTTGGGCCTTCATTGAAACTTGCTTGATATTCCTAGGAATTTATGCATCTGCTATGCATGTTGTGCTCTGATGATACAGTCCTCACAACTTAGCCTCAACGAGCAAGGTTTGCAGCATGACAGATAATTAAAGAAGTCATTAGTCGTGCTTATGTTTGATTCTTTCTTTAACCCCTTTATTTCTCAGCTATGATCTGTCAGCGCCACTTAATAATAATATAGAAATTAGCCTGGATGTTCATATGAGTTCTAGACAAACTAACAAAGAGAGGTTTTCCCCTCAATTAATGATTCCAACTTTCTGCAGTGGTTAAGTGTGGTTGTTACCTGATGAAGTCGTGTACAATAAATAAGTGATGCTTACCCATTTGGTTAGCCATCAACTCGCTATTCTTTGCAGCTTGATAGAAAAAAATGTTAAGGGTACGTCATTTCTCAACCAGCCGATTTAATTTTCGAATTTTGTGTTTTTCAGTAGCATTGGGAGCAGTCTCTACTGGTGAGGCACCTTGAGGAGGGATTGAAGTGCATGAAAAAGTTAAGGAGATCATGTGAGTGCTTCAAGGTCAAGGGGGTAGTGGTGGTGGTGGTTTTATGATATTACTTCTAGCATTTTGGCGGGACATCTATGTAGCATCACTGAAGTTGATGCTTGTCTTGTGTATGATCTTCAGGGTTTGTAATTTAATCCCTGATGTTATGTTGTCTGGTACCCCCATGTGCTGTCCTACTCTATGTGGGTATGCCCTCTATGCATATTCTAGTACTTAGCATGCAATGAAACCCTATAATGAAATTAGAGCATTGCAATTTCATAGCGTCATGTTACTCTAACTCTGTCCTACTCTATGTGGGTATGCCCTCTATGTGTATTCTAGTACTTAGCATGCAATGAAACCCTATAATGAAATTAGAGCATTGCAATTTCATATGTGCCATGTAGTAACCTAATGTCAATTTGGTTCAACTTCTTGTGCTTCTACTTGTGCGATGATGAATCAATTGTGCGAGTTTATTTTTTTCAGCCCATCAACCTACTTGTCGGTTCATGCTTATCATGGAAAGAACTAAATCATTCTCATTCCTCTTGGTTTGTTTCTCTTTCCTGAATTCATCTGCCATTAGCATGTTTCTGTGCTTCCTGTCCTGTCTGAATGAAAAGTAGTTTACCAAAGGATCCAGCTAAAAACATGCTACCATAATCACTGATAAAAAGTAGTTCACTGTAGGATTTGCACAGTTTTTATGGGGTTGCACGACCCTTTTATCCAATCTGGATTTGCTTTTGCCAAGTAGCAAGTCTTCATGTGAGCTCACGTAGCCAACAAATCATGGACAATGTTCAGACTCCTGTTTTGTCTCACAGAAGTGCATGTTCTGTTTATGCTGAAATGCTGAATCAACACAAATACTTCTGTTCTACCTGGGCAACATAAACATGCTCACGTATCTCACATATTGAGCCTTTTTTTGCAACCTTTACATACCTACTCCTAGTACCATGCGAGGACCACAAGATCAGCCTGCTTCTTCATCCTTACATCTTCATCCTCACAGTTTGCAGCTCAGACGAAACTGTCACCAAACCCACGCTCTTGTATCTGAAGGGGGAAACACGTACAGATACTGCACTTTATTAGTAAGGAGAAGCTCTACATTTTTTTGAACGAAAAACCTGAAGATGTCATAGATTAGCCCGTGTTAACTGCATACCTGGACGGCATGGAGAGCGCAAGAGCACGACGTGTCGTAGAAGAAGGCCGCGGTTTCTGACGGTAGTAGCGGATGAACTCCCGAGAACCGAGTGATCGGACACGGGTTCCTTTTCCACTCTTGTTTGTGATTACTAGCTCTGACCGGCCAATTCCAAGCTCAATGCCACAGTTACCATCAGCAGCAGCAGCCAACTGCTTGCCATCCACATCGGCATACCTGCAGTCAGAGCAGCAGGGTTAGATTAGATGCGTGCAAATTCAGGTGTAAGCAGCTCATCGATCCAGTGTCTTTAAATCTACCTGATTCGAAAATTACAGTACTAGTAGTGTTTTCCTATAATAAATCACTGAAGTTTGGGGGCAGATATGCTCCTTTTTAATGTAAAGATAGATCATGCTTCTTGTGCATATGAACCATGCAGTCCAAATTTAGGCTTTTTACTACTTGCGCAAATCAGATTTCCACCATGTTCAGAAGACCATTGACCTCTTGTTACTTGTAAGATCATAAAGTTAAGTTGCACAAAAATTATACTACCTGCTACTGTAATCGTAGAAATCCTCGAGATCCGCGTCCTCGTCATCTCCGCCGTCACCAAACCGCACTTTGCAGTGTCCCTTTGCATGCATGTGTTTCCTGACGGCCTCCAGGCTCTGAAAGGCCCGGCGTCTGTCGTCGCAGTAGAGGCAGATAAAATCCCGCTTCACCTGCAAGCAAGAATAACCCAATATATACAGCACGTCAGCACGAACGAAGATTTCAAACCAAATGCTGTAATAAACAAAACATTAGATGCTGCGACACGAGAAAATACCTTCAGTCCAACGTAGGCAAGAAGGCCACCGGGATCCTTCAAGTACTCACTGTCAGGTACGAAGAACCCGTGCTTCCTGTGCAGATGGACCATGCACTCGTCCATGGTGCCGTGCTTGAGGTCACACATGAAACAGCACGATGGGTCCAACTCCAACTCTTCAATCTCTTCGTCGCGTCTAGAGGAATCCGCCGCGTTCGTCGCTTGCATGCTGTTCGAAGTGGATTCGTCAGGCAACTCTTCGTCTTCATCCTCTTCTACCGTGGTGGCTGTGCGAACCGGAAGCGGTGTGATTCCTCCGGCGGTGGAGGAACGACTGGGCTCCTCCTGAGACTGAGAGGCGGCTCTCATGAGATGCGATCGCGAGCTGAGGTGCTGCTCGTGAGCTCGAGAGCTCGTGTACTCCTTCCCACACGGAGTACAGCCGTATAGCGTCGGAGTGGTTCCCTCCGAGAGAGCGGCTTCCCATGCCAAAAACAGAGCCTCCGTCACGCCAGGAACTCCAGCCACCTGGAGCATAGAAATCAGTCCAAATCCACGGGCATAATGGCGAGTTCAAACACAAAGGGAAGTGAGAGGATAAATGTGCTACGAGTATTGGATGACTGGCTTGGGCCATCTGCTAAATAATGTTCTACGGAGTATGGGGCCATGGCGGCGGAGCCGCGGAGGGGACGATGGATCGATCGGATACCTTGCGCTTGAGGTTGTAGCGGTGCCACTCGGAGCGGTAGTGGATCCGCTTCTGCTCATCGTCGACGAACACCACGTTGCACGCGTTGCAGGTCGCCGTCGGCATCCTCACCTCTCCCTCTCTGTCGCTTCGATCTGCTTCGGCGGGCACGGGCGACGGGCGAGCAACGCTGCAAGGCCTCGCTTCGCTCCTCTAGCAGTGGAAAGTTATATTCTGCTATAGGAGTCCTAGCCCCTTTCGGCCCGTCAATTTTCCTTGGCGCCCAAGGAAGGACCCAAGTGGGCCACGTGAGATTCGTGGGCTTTAAACGACTGAGAGTTGGTGATTGCGAGACCACAATCAAGACGTTGACTTTTTATGGGTTTATTTTTGTCTAAATTCCTTTTTGAAGGCAAGTTTGTTCTGTCTAAATATCGTGTCGTGGCATTGAATTTGCATTTTTGGCAGATTGAGATCTTGTGATACTCCCCCGTTTCAAGTTACATATCACTTTAACTTTGACATAAACCAATCTTCTATTTTTTATTACTATGCCGTAGGAAAATGCACCAGCATATATAACACCGAAATTAATTTCGTCACTGTCGAATATGTCTTTATTTGTTCATTTATTTGGTGTTGAAGATGTTAATATATTTTCTAAAACTTTAGTCAAAGTTAGAGAAATTTGATTTAGAACAAATTTAATGTGACCTATGATTTGGATAGGGGGAGTAGGCATTTTTTTTTCATGCCCAACAAAACGTGAGAAAATTGTCATTTTAGAATTAAGAACTTATAAGTGGAAAATGTAGTACTTAATTTTAAGTAGCGAACCAACTGATTTAACTCTGGTGCATACGCTTTGACTACTGATTTTCAAGAAATACATGTGTAAATAGTTGTAATTACACTTTTTTATAAAAGCAGTTGTCTACTCGCAAAAAAAGTTGTCATTACATGATCTACTGGTTTGGTTTATTAATAAAAATTCTTCAAGAATGACTTAAATTTGACTATATTTGCACAAATTTTTTGAATAAGACGAGTGATCAAACTTGAAGCCAAAAAAGTCAAACGTCTTACAATTTGAGATGGAGTAGTAGTACTTTTTCATAACAAAATCTGGCAGTACCACATCCATCTTAACTTTGGATTTTACAAAGGCGGTCAAAGTGCGAAGACCAAAGTCAAAACTGACAATCTTGATTCAAACGTGACAACACAGGCCAGTGTACGATGCGTGCGGAGAGAACGTGTGTGCCAATTGCAAACACCTTGCACCACAACCAACATCACCGAAGTTTTTAACAGAAAAGGGGATTTCTCAATACTGTCAGAGACATGAAGTGACTAATGAGCAAATCATGCTGGTAGCTACTCCAGCGTGCGCTCTGGAGTCAGGAGTTAGATTTACATGTTGAAGTATACAACAGGCTGGTTTGGACAAACGCTACGAGCATTATCAAAAAAGTTCTTGTGTCCACATTGCAACATACATGACTGATTGACTGAAGAACGAAGTTTCTTCCACACAGGATCTAAGACTCGCCTTCCTCTTCAGCATCCAATTCCAATCTGAGTGCCTATGTTAAATACAGTTAGAACTCTCTTAGACACAAATTCTAACAATGATATTTGTTACATAGACACACATCCTCTCCTCTTAGCAAATCAAATGAAGTTTCAGCATCATGGTCTCCCACTCTCCCTATTCAAGGCATACCTTTTTCTGGAAAGCTCTCATAGTCAGCACGATTAAATCACGCAACCTACAGAAGCAGAACTTAATCAGTTGCACAAATTCCGTTCAGTTCGTTGATATCAAGTTACTGGTGGTCAGTTATGTGTAAGCATGTACAGACGGCAATGGAAACCAAGGAGGCAACATGGTACCTAACATCATAGTCTTCAGTATTTGGCTCTGTTATTCCACATGTGTTGAATGCTAGGTTAACACCGCCAGAACTTACCAGAACAAATTGGGTGGTGCGTCCATTAGGAATTTTCGTCTGTTAGGACGAGTTCAACGTAGCAAAATTCAGATATAATGTCAAGTGAACATTATTACATTAGGTGATTATAACCATGAATATTGACCAACATACATCTAACAGAGAACATACCTGAAGCATTTGTGAATACTCCTCTTCAATTATGAGTTCGTCTGACATCTTGGCCTTAATCTGGTAGCCAGTTCTCCTAAGCATCACCGTGGCTAGTTCCCAAGAATCCGCGTTCTATGATGCAACAGAAACCAGAAAAGGTGACCTTCACATCCAGCCATTTCATTATGGAGCTAGTTGCTGACATAGTTTAACACTTAAACAAATAAAGTATTGAACTCCTATGAATGGAACCACATCCAATTCGCTACTTCCTAGCCAATGCCACCTCCAATTCTACCAAGAGAAATTCCTGGAACACCTCTGTTTCATGGAGCAAGTCAGCAAGCTTACTCTAGTGCAACAACTTCAGCTATTAGTAGCATCTTTTAGACAAATAAAAAAAGAGAACACTTCTACAGGAAGGCACATAAGGATTGTTGTACAACTGTTAATAGCTTTCATGAGGCATCCTATTCGTATGATGGTAAAATAGGTAATACAAAGGTAGCCTGAATAGCGTACCAGTATAAAAACATTATATAAAGCTTCTTTGTTGGAAATACACGCATTGATCTCACTCTGCATGTCTGAATCTGTAGGATATATGGATTAATCACAAAGATTGTTGGAGGTTAATCTTTCGAATGCAACTATAGTTACTATATAAAAGAACAGGTATACCTCAGAAATATAAAGTACAATTACTAACATGGAAAAAATACTCTAGTGTTTTTCTAGGGGAACAGTATGAACAAAAGGTTAGCTTCCTAGTTTGTCTTAGCAATCAATTTAAGCATTTGCCATTGGGTTCCATCCGCCCTCATGGTGATTGTCGTGGTAATCGCATTTGTGGTTAGCTGTGTATTAGACAAGTCGAAATAATCTTCATTGACGGCAAGAAGGATGCCACCTCTGGTTTGTGCTGCTGGCAGCACGGCGAACGAATTGGCGAATTTTGAACCTACCGTCCGGGTCACAACGCGTTGGTCCATCAGCTGAAGCTGTCTCCTGGAGGCAAACAATGGTGGATCCCGTGTCTCTCACAAGTTCGTTTACTGTGTCTTGCCTGGCGCCATCGTTGAGTCCCCTTACGTTCCAGTTGAGAAGTCTACAATTTCGTTGTGCCATGGAAAAACAAACTGGACCCCTGAAGAGCGCACACACTGCATCTACTCCTGAGAAGTAGCAGCCGCCGGAGCTGTGTCGAGGCCACACAGGGCCGTCAAGGCCATGACAACTGAGTCGGTGAGCGGTCCCTGGAAGAGGTTGAAGTAGCGCAGGAACTGATCGTCGGTGGTGAGGCCCTCCTCCTCGAGGACGCCGAGCCGCTTCATGAGGACCTGCCGTGCGCGGGCCGCAAAGGGATGATGAAAAAAATCCAGTTCCTTCAGGAGTAAAAAAACATCCCCGCCAACTGATGAGTTCCTTCAAGGCGGCCATTGATGACTTGCGACTGAAAGAGATCAAGTTAAATGGACGCCCACATGGAGTAATGAACAGGCTAACCCAACCCTTACCAGAATTGACAGACTCCTGTGCACCTCGGAATGGGAACTATTATTTCCAGCGTGCCTCCTACACTCCCTGCCATCGCTTATGTCGGATCATACACCGCTTTTGTTGCAAGGGGAACTTGACCACCACCGCAGCACGTCCTTCCAGTTTGAGAATTTTTGGATCCACATGCAAGGCTTCCAGGAAGTGGTTCAAGAAGCATGGAGCAGGCCGGTCAATACCGACCTGCCGATCAAGCGCCTTCACATCAAAATGGCCAGGGTAGCCAAAAGCATTAAACGATGGTGCAAAGAAAAGATAGGGGACACAAAGCTGCAACTGGCCATAATTAAAGAAGTCATTCTGCAACTAGCAGCGGCACAGGAATCTCGAGCTCTTACAACTCAAGAGTTGGAACTGCAGCTTCGCCTAAAAATTCGTAGCACCGGCCTAGCAGCAATTGAGAAATCTAGGATCAGGCAAAGATCGAGGCTCACCTATATCTGTTGTGGAGATGCCAACACAAAAATTTTCCACATCAGAGCAAGCACACGCCAAAGGAAAAATTATATCCACTGCCTGCACACAGATGGGGGGATGGCAATGACTCATGAAGACAAGGAAAAGGTGGCTGGGGACTATTTCAAAAATCATTTGGGCATGTTGGCCGCCAGAACCAGATCCTTGGATTGGCAATCTCTTGGGTATACCCCACGAAACCTTTTAGAATTAGAAGTTTCCTTCACACAAGAAGAGATCTGGGACACGATCAGCACTATGCCGACGGATAAAGCCCCAGGCCCGGATGGTTACACTGGAGCTTTCTTCAAAGCTTGCTGGGAGACCATCAAAGAAGACGTCACAGCCGCAATAAACAAATTATTTCAGATGAACGCCCAGGGATTCGAACTAATGAACTCGGCAAACATCGTGCTACTCCCCAAAAAAGAAGATGCACTGAGTATCACAGATTATAGGCCCATCAGCCTCATTCACAGCTTTGCAAAGCTCTTCGCCAAACTGCTAGCCAACAGGCTCGCCCCACTGCTCAACTCTTTGGTCTCAAATCGCCAAAGTGATTTCATCAAAAAGAGAAGCATCCATGACAACTTCCTATATGTACAGACCACAGTAAGGAAATTGCACAAGCAAAAAACGCTGGCCCTTTTTATGAAGCTTGACATCCACAAAGCCTTCGACACAATTAATTGGAGCTACTTGCTGGAGGTCCTCCAAGCACTGGGATTTGGACCACGATGGCGTGAATGGGTGTCCATCCTCTTTCGCACGGCCATTTCGAGGGTGCTGCTCAACGGCCAGCAAGGGCCTAGCTTCAACCATGCCAGAGGAGTTCGCCAGGGCGACCCCCTATCGCCCATGCTCTTCATCCTAGCCATGGATCCTTTACAACGTCTTCTCGACTTGGCCACACAGCAAGGGGCCCTCACACCCTTGCCCCCGGCTGCAGCTAGGTGGAGAACCTCCTTATACGCGGATGACGCAGCCATTTTTATAAACCCACTAAAAGATGATCTAGAAGCGGTCAAGGCAATTCTCCAGGCCTTTGGGAATTTCTCAGGACTCCACATAAATCTACAGAAAAGCTCCATCCACCCCATCAGATGCGAGGAGGTCGACTTGGATCACGTACTCTCCTCCTTCGCAGGGGTCAGAGGTACCTTCCCATGACGATATCTAGGGCTGCAGCTGCATACACGTAAGCTTCGAAGGGTCCACGTGCAGCCACTCATTAAGCGCATTGGCCAGAGACTACCCGGATGGAAGGGGAGATGGCTAAATAGAGCGGGCCGCCTCACCTTAGTCTCCTCAGTCCTCTCATCCATGCCAACTTACCACCTCACCTGTTCCCGCTTGCGGCTTGGGCCAGAAAGAAAATCGATAAAATCAGAAGGTCATTTCTATGGAAAGGGGAAGAAAACGCAAATGGTGGATGCTGCTTGGTTAACTGGCCATCGGTTTCCAGACCCAAAGATCTCGGCGGCCTAGGGATACCCGACTTGGAAAAGTTCGGAAGAGCGCTCCGTCTATGCTGGTTATGGCAAGATTGGGTGGAAGAATCCAAACCGTGGGTAGGTGCGGATTTACCTTGCAATGAGCTTGATCGGCTGCTCTTCAACGCATCAACAAAAGTCACAATTGGCGATGGCGAAAAGGCACGTTTCTGGCACAACAGTTGGCTGGACGGGGAAGCACCAAGAAATCTAGTGCCGCACTTGTTCGAGCTGGTCAAAAGGAAAAACAAATCGGTCCAACAGGAAATTCGAAACAACAGTTGGATTCGCTCCCTAAGAGGTCGGAACACCAACACCGTCCAACTCGAGGAATTCGTCTCCCTTTGGATCAGAATCCAAAGTGTCCAGCTAATGCCGGGTGTACGCGACTCCATTACCTGGAGATGGATAGCTGATGGCGTTTACTCCACCCGCTCAGCTTATAGGATCCAGTTCAGAGGATCCTGTGGGGGCTTCCAGAGTGACCTCATTTGGAAAGCCCATGCTGAAAACAAGTGCAAAGTGTTCGCCTGGATCCTAGTAAGAGAAAAAAAATTTACGGCAGATAACCTGCAGAAGAGAGGTTGGCCACATCATGAACACTGCGCATTGTGCAATGGACCCCTTGAAACAGGACTGCACTTATCTTTACTTTGTGCTTTCGCCAAGGCGGTGTGGAGCAGGATTCTATCTTGGGAGCACTTCGATGGACAATTGATCCTACCAACTCAGGATCCGCGACAGTTCAGATCATGGTGGGAGGAGGCTGAAACTAAGATAGCCAAGGAAGAAAGAAGACGCTTCAATGGTTTGGTGATGTTCACATTATGGAACTTATGGAAAGAGAGGAATAGGAGGATCTTCAATAATGCTCATGAATCGGCACTGCAAGTGGCCTCAAGGATCAAAGAGGACATAGAGCAAAGGAAAAGGGCTTTATCCGGAAGTGGGTAATTGACAGGGCCATCTGTAATCCTTTTGCTCTGTACATAAACCTCTTCTTCCTCTCTTAATTGAAAGGCAGCGCTCCTGCCAATGCGTTCAAAAAAATCAATTTAAGCATTTTAGTATTATATATCTCCATTGTCCCACTCACCAAATTTACATATCCTTCGTTTGTAAATAGGACATTGATTATGTTAATTTTCAGGCATCGTGTAATGAAGTTCCTTGTTTTAACTGCACAATCGAGGCCCACTTTCAGGAGTATAATATTCTAAACACAGTACTTCCCTCCCTAATAGTTCATGCAAAATTGCAAATACTGATGATATATGGACTTATGGCCTTTGGAGCTCGGACCTCCTAGATTGTCCATGGCTTCTTATAAAAGCAGCAAATTATGCATCATCGAACCACAGATACACATTGACGGAGGAAAAAAAAAGGCATTTTAAACTCACCACAGGCTATCTTACTCTTCCCATTTGCAAATGATGTTACCAACTCACCCTAACAAACACGATTCAAGAACACAGATTCATCAAACTAATAGTAAGCTATGACAATTGAAATTACAAACACAAGAATAGTATATTTCTGTGTATCTGGATTATGCTAATTCTATATTAGAAGCAAACATATTTGATAATGGGACTAAATGTACTAGTACCCTATCACAACCAGAATTTTAGACTTCTCCTAGTGAGGTGGGCTTCTCCTAGTGTTTTAGCATTCAAAATTTAGTATAAATTTTCCCTACTAAATGCCTCCTAGTGAGATTCCCATGTGCTATGACTAGTCGTAGTGTTTTACTAGTACTTAAAAACACTAGGAGAAGTCCACCATTTTGGTAGTGTATACCTAATTTCAGAAAGAATCAAATATTGAAGTCACTAACATTAAACAGTGAACTTGTTGCACAAACTGTGAATGCAACTGTTATTAAATGAAAAAAAAACAATGCCTAATTAACAGTTAAGTTAAATGCAATACAACTAGAAAAGGATCAGACTAGCTTTTTGGGTACCCATGCAAGTGCCCTTTTTCCCATGAATTCATAAAGAAATTCAGGTTTAAGTCCTTTCAACTCAAAGTGGGTGCCCATTCCTCTTAAAAGGACCTAGCTTCTACGCTGGTCTAGTTTGTTTTCCTCTTGAGAATGAAATTATCCAAGGTTTTATGCATGTGACTAACCTGGAGACCGTCATCATCCATAGGGGTGTATTGCACAGCAAGAAGAGTGTCAACATCATCTGCTGTAACCACATAGTCGTACATTGTAGCACCTTATATGCAGAGCATAGAGGTATCAGTAAAATTATACTAGCTTGGTGATAAACAATGGTGAACACTAACCCTATGGTACAAGGAGGTACTAACAGTTTCTCTCGCTCACCTTCAATAGATTGCCTGGTCCCATCATCAAGGTACCGAACCCACTAAGAAACATCCATATTTCAAGGCGTGGTTAGATATATTAACAGTAAACAATGAAGACAGAAGAATCATGATCAGCTTGTGAATACCTGGAAAATACAAAGTTTAGTACCATTTATTGGAAATCCACACACTCTTAATGTAAATCCTGGTTTAGGTTCACCAATAATCTGAAATTCCTCAACGCCAGGTAGCAGAACATGATCTGGAGAGAAGTTTGGCTTAGGACAAAACTAAAGCAAACGAATAAATATTGTTTCTGCTGGTCATTACAGTTAAGTAAATGTGCAACCGGAAGCCTACATAAACCTGTTAGTGTCAGCACCCCAATAGCACTAGATCAAGGAATTTCATTTGTACGATGGTATGATACACAGCAAAAGAGCAAGTTCCTGAAAACTTTACATGTTGATGTAAAAATAATCAGTAGAAAATTAAAACTCTGAATTACCTTGGGAGAGGGTTGAATCCTCGCCATCTAACTCCAGCACCTCCTGAGTGACCTGCTTACCAGAATACCAGTAGGGGGAAAGGTAAACATCAGCGGGCTGAAAGGTAAACAGCAGAAGTTACCCTTTCATCTGTACCTCGACACCGACGGTGGCGACGAGGCCAATCATGGGGATGAGGCGGATGTAGCGGTCGATCTCCTCCTCCGCGGCGAGCAGCCTGGCGGCGGTGTGGGCGCCGGTGAGCAGCTGGTAGAGATAGCTCCTGAGCTCCAGCTCCTGGCCGCAGGACCTGACGAGCAGGTACGCGCGGCGCAGCGCGTCGTCGAGCTGCTCCAGCGGGCGCCGCGTCTCCGGGTGTCGCCTCAGCCGGGGCAGCGTCTGGAGCCTCCGCAGCAGGCCCTCCACGACGCGCACGTGCTCCGCCAGCTGCAGGCATGCGTCGCGGTTCCGCCGCGCCGTCAGCGCCGCCTGCGTGATCATGGAGGCCAGACCGAACGCGTCCACGCCCAGTAGCTGCAGTATGCTGCTGGCGTTGCCCACGTCGTCCCACGCCACGGCCATGGACGCGGCGGCGCGGCCGAAGCCTCGGTCTTTTTGCCGAAGGAAAAAGAAAAAAAATCAACCAAGCACTCCGACTTCTTGCAATGAGTAGTATAATTGATGGTTCCCTGCAGTTCTCCCACCTTGCCGGCTACCACGCTTTATCAAAGTCAAGTCAATCTTTACAACCAGTCAACTCGCGCATCATACGTCACTGACCTGTTTGGCTGTTTGCCCTTGTGGTTGCTGACTTGCTGTTGAAATGAAATTGTGTTTGTTGAAAAAAAAAATAGGCCGAGGATGTCCGTCCGGACGGACCCCGACACGCCCGCGCCTGTACCGTCCGTACGAGTATCTTGGAAATCAGCTATCGCTCCTCTCTCTTCCGCGTACGTGCACTGAAAAATATCAGTCATCGCTCCTCTCTCTCGTGCCTCCTTGACGTCCTTGTATCCGCTTTCTCTCTCGTGCGCGTGCCTCCGGCGCTACTCCATCTCTCTCTCGCTGCGGTGCATGCGAGCGTACCGGCGCAGCGGCCTCGGCGTGGCCACAGCACAAGCGGGCCACGACACGGAGGCCCAAGCGGCCCTCGACACAGCCATCGACGCAATGGCCCCAATCACGGGTGGACCAGCGCGGCAGGTCTAGCACGAGTGGCTCTCGGCAGATATGGCTCCTCTCCCAGTCACGCGGGCGCTGCCTCCTTGCCGCGTCGCGCAACCGCCACCGGCCTGCTTTCTCCGGTGAACTCCACATGCCAACGGACCTCCATTCTTCCAAGTAGCAAGGGGCGAGATGTTGCGCTGCGCTGAAAGTGCATGTTGCATAGTGTATGTTTCAAGTGTTTCAGATGTTTCAGAGGTATATTGGAAGTGTTTCATACGGATGTTGCAAAAGTAGATTGAGATATTACACATGTTGCATAGGTTGCAAGCGTTTGTTCAAAATATTTTATCTGTCTCAGACGTATGTTGCAAACGTTTTGATTTGGATGTCTTATATGTTTAACACATATGTTGCAATAGTATGTTTCAAATGATTCATTTGTTTTTAGTCTTATGTTGCCGCAAGTGTTTTCATGTTGCAAGTTGCGAGCGTTTTATCTAGATGTTGCATATATTACAGTGGCTACACGCGTATGTTGCAAGTGTATGTTTCAAATGTTTCATCTGTTTCAGATATATGTGGCAAGTGTTTTATTTGGATGTTGCATGTGGTGGCTATACACATATGTTGTAAGCTTATGTTTCAAATATTTCACCTGTTTCAGACGTATTTTGCAACAAATGATTTATGTTGCAAGTGTTTTCATTAGTAGGCGAGCACAGACAGAGAAGGTCTCGTGTACAACTTGCAACATGAAGATACTTTTTTTCAATTGATTACTTTTTATCGCTTAGTATAATCGTGTTCCAACGTCATATTTTCTTGTACCTCAACAGTGCATTTGTTTTCGACTAATGGACATGCACGTGTGGCACCGTGTATGATTTTTATGAGGCGATAAGCTCTAATACATAACTAATATACTGCTGAAAATTTATATTATTGCTTAGCATCTTAATGACCTTAAATGAAAAAAATTTAAAACTATAAAGTTATAGATTTCATCAATAGCTACAACATTTATATAATAAGTATCTTCATTTAGCACTGTATAAAAAAGATATGATTTTTCTAAGATGACATAAGCTTGTACACGATCAATATGCTGCTGAAATTTTATATTATTTTTTTGAGCATCTTAATGATCTCAAATGAAAAACTCGAAACTACAAAGTTGTAAATACCATAGAGAGCTATATCTTTTATATATAAAGTATCTCCATTTGATGCCATTAAGAAAGATGATTTTTCCAATACGACGAGCGCATGTACACGATTAATATAATGCTGAAATTTTATTTAATTTTTTTAGCATCTTAAAGACCTCAAATTAATAAAACTCAAACCTAGAATCTCATTGAGAGCTATAATTTTCATATAAATATTATTTTCATCTAAGATCGTACGAAAAAGATACCGTTTTTATAAGGTTGCGCCTACCGCGCCAGTCTCGTTGGCGCAGCGCTACAGTATTGCCGCACCAACGGGAGTGGCGCGGCAAGCTTTCCACGTGGAAATCATTGTTCATCATGGCAGATCGTGCCGCGTCGATGCTTGTGGCGTGATAGCATGTTTTGGATGCACCAAGGACTTAGCGCGCGGCCAAACGGGTTGGATTTGAAAATAAAAGAGCAACGGTATTAATTTGGAAAATTGTTTTAAAAAGGTTAAAAATTGAAAACAATCCAGTAGGCGTGGGCGTGCAGCAACCTGCGAACAGCAGGCGTAGGCACGTAGCCGCACGCGAGCAACATGCGAAGTATGTGGGCGTCCGGACACAAGCAGCAGAAAGAGGGAGGGAGTAGCAGGCAGTGGCGGAGCCAAGATGAGCACCTCCGGGGCTAATCAATAGAGATTTAGAATAAATGTCGAAGATTAACGGTGAAATCACGTTTTTTCTACAGTAATAACAAGCCAAAATCACTCTCACGGGGGGATCCGCCAATGGTAGCAGGTGAACGCAAGCAGTAGGCGCAGACGCGAGTAGCATGTGAAGTACGCGAGCCGCATGCGGGGCGGGCGCACGGGCGTCCGCGTGTCCAGTGCTAGCCACGCCTATTAGTATTTCTTTTGGAAACGCATTAACCTGAGCGTCCGACGTCCGTCGCTACACCCGCTCTCTGCGCCACCCGCCCTCTACGCCACTGCTGCTCATGCCGCCCCCACCCGGCCCTATGTGCGCCGTGGCTTAGCTCCGCGCCGCCGGCGAGCTCACCGATGACCTCCATGCGTCACCCACCCTGCCCTCTGCGAGCACCGTCACCCATGCTGCCCCATACCCGCCTTCTGTGCGCCGCCGCACAACTCCACGTTGCCGATGACCTCCATGTGTCACCCACCCCGCCCTTTGCGAGCACCGTCACCCGTGCTGCCCCCACACCCGCCTTCTGTGCACCGCCGCACAGCTCCGCATTGCCGGCGAGCTCTGTGCCACCGGCGATTACACTGGTGACCTCCATGCGTCGACAAGCCTCTATTTGCGAAGCAACAAGGAGATGTTTGCGTTGAAAGAGCATGTTACAAGCATATGTTTTCAAGTGTTCCAAAGTATGTTGCAAGTGTTTATATCGGTGTTGCAAAAGTAGATCAGGATGTTGCTCATGTTACGATGAACAAAATACGCATGTTTCAAGTGTTTCAGGTGTTTAAGATGTATGTTGTAAATATTTCATCTGGATGTAAAGTAGATTTTAGTGTTGCACATGTTACAATGGCTATACACGCATGTTTCAAGTGTTTCATCTGTTTCAGACAGATGTTGCAAATCTTTCGTCTGGATGTTTCAAAAGTAAATATGGTGTTGCACGTGTTGATATGGATATACACACATGTTTTAAGTGTTGCAAGTGTTTTATTTGGATGTTTTAAAAGTAGATCTCGGGGAAGCACTTGCTGTTGCTACCGTGCCGTCGTGGGTCACCGTGCGCGCCTGCTGGTGATGCTGTGTGCATGCGGACGCGTGAAACGGAGCGGGATGGGTGCGGGGCGAGGGAGCTGCATGAGTTACGCGCAGGAGCGGGAGCACCGTCCGAGGCTAACGTCCTGGATCGGATGTGCGGGCACTAGCAAGTCCGTATTTCTTTTAATCATATTCATTAGCTACCGTTGAGGATTCAAAATTTATAACAAAATATATAAAAGGTATTCTAGGTCTTTAACCCTCCTCTCTCTCCTCTGTCTTTAGTCTTTATTAACCGGATACCGCTTTCCTTCAACTTACGTCATACATATAAAAATTCCTTTTAAACTAAGAAAACGATAACTGAGCTACTCACTCGATCACTCCCTCCTAATCGGTGAGGAGTACTGTTGTTGTTGTATTTTGCTAGACTCCTTATTTTATCAGAAAATCGCTTTGATTTCTTATATTTTAGAATGGAGGGAGTATTTAAAAGCTCGTGCAGTTCACTTTTTAAAGTACATGAATCACCTGGTAACTTTTTTTGGATAGTTTCTGAGTTCTGAGAACATCTTCCGATGATATGTACAAATATTTCCACAGGACTACTAGCCCATGTCGCCATACAAACATTTTATTAACCCATTAACATTCTTGATATTTTTTTCAAAAAAGGTATAAAAAAGGTTCTTTTCTAGAATTTGTGATTTTGTGTCGTGGGCTCCTGCCCCCTTTCGGCCCCGGCAATTTTCCTTGGCTCCCAAAAGGCACCGCGAAGTGGCGCACGTGAGATTTGTGGCTCCAAACGATTGTGCACGGTGATTGGAGAGACCCAAAATCAAACGTTCACTTCGTATGGGTTTGTTTGTCGATTTTTTGTGTCGTGGCACTGGATTTGCAATTTTGGCATGTTGTGATTTCATGATACTCTCCCGTTTTAAATGATAGACCACTTTAGTTTTGATATAGGTCAAGCTTTTTTAAACTCTAACCAAGTCGTTCCAAATTATAAGTTGTTTAGACTTTTTGCTTCATCCATTTTGCTATATATCTAAATATATTATTATATTTAAATGTATAGCAAAATAAATATATAAAAAAAATTAAAGCAACTTATAATTTAGAATCAAGGGAATAAGTGACTGTAGATGTCCTATGGACTATGGTGACCATCCCCACTGAATATTTTCCCTACATCTCTGAATGTTTTTCCTCCTACATCTCCTACGTTGTGGTTACTGGTTAGCATCAACGTGCTCCAGAGCGCAAATATCGCCCCCACGTTTTCACTTGCTCACATGTATGTACTTTGTTTCTTTTTGGTTTAGCTCATCCTAGCAACTGAATACAATTATACAAATCGTCGAAATGTCGAAAATTGACCATTTTGTCACCTATAGCCTATAAGTAAGAAAAGGGTCTCTCGTGGCCAGGCGATTTGCAAAAATAGGACTCGAAACATCAGTCGTTTGCAGATTTGACACTGGACCCATATTCATAGACACAGATGGACTCACTTATCATCCACCCGAGTGCCATTATAACCAAGAAGTCAATCTTTCGAGTGTCATTTTTGCAATTTTTTTGCTCGTGGGCTCATTTGAAATGCTTACTACAACCACATTGAACGATCTATAATCGAAGCGAAGACCATGACGGCATGACCATGTATGCGGAGACTAAAAACAAACACCAGACCTTGCAACAGCGGTTACAATGGCCACAGCTGGGACAAAGTAGTACGTGAAAAAGTCCATATTAGCTCCCTCAACTTTCGTGAAAATCCGTTTTTCCTCTTTAAATTCTAAAACTGGACAAAACATTTACCTCAAACTTTTTAAACCGTTCATCTTACCTCCCTGGCCCGGATATAGCGACTTTGAAGACGGTTTTATCTTTTTTTTTATTTATTTCGGCTGAATTATAGTAAATAATAGAAAAATTATAAAATAGAAAATCCAATTTTGTTGGACTTCACATGAGTAGATCTACACAGTGAACATATAATATGGTATGTTTTACTACAAAGTTTTTGTTATAGCTTTAGATCTATGTTTTTCTGTAATTAAATGGAATAATTCTTAGCTGCAGTTTCTATAGTTCAATTGTGGTGAAATTTTTATGGTGGGCTAACTATTGTATGCTTAAACTGTAGTAAAAATTTCATTCTCATTGGATCATGTATAATTTAGTTATAAATTTTATTTAGGTTTATGCTTGTTAAATATAAATAAATCTATAACTAAGCTATACATGATCCAATGAGCATGAAAGTTTTACTACAGTTCAATTATACAATAATTAGCCCACCAAAAAAATTTCATCACAATTGGACTATAGAAACTGCAGCTATGAATTATTCCAATTAATTACAGAAAAGCATAAATCTAAAACCACAAACAAAAACTTTGTACTAAAGCATACCATATATGTTCACCGTGTAGATCTACTCATGTAGAGTCCAACAAAATTAAATTTTCTATTTTATTATTTTTCTATGATTTACTATGATTTTTAAAAATTCAGCCGAAATTAATAAAAAAAAAGACAAAACCACCTTCAAAATTGCTTATAACAGAGCCATAGAGATAAGATGAACGGTTTTAAAAGTTGAGGGAGGTGTTTTGCCCGATTTTAAAGTTTAGGGAAGAAAAATGAACTTTCGCGAAAGTTGAGGGAGTTAATGTAGACTTTTTCCTTATCATTTCTACCAGCGACTTGACTTCTAGTCTCTCCATCGAAGATCGACTTTACTGCTGACAGTTGATGCAACAGGCGACCACACATATTAAGTATTAACCAAGGTGTAGCAGCGATTTGAGCACCCATGTCTTGCAACAAGATTACCACAAAACACAGAACAAGGAAACAGTAGGCCGTTAGCAGTCCAACACGCAGGTCACAGCTGCTTCCACACCTCAGAGAGTTCAACAAAAACTTCGTATGGAAGATATACTACTAATCCAAATATCTTAAGCGCCAACATTGTCAGTGATAGACAAGAAACCATAAGACACCATATAAATGTCTGGAGGAGCTCCAGACTGGGGTGCAGGAAAAGGCAAAGTGTCTAATGCGGGCAGTTCTTAGGGAGGTTTCGGATCACATTGCTCTTCATCCCGATCTTGTTTCGCATCGTCTCAACCCCGGTCTTGTTCATTGCACGGAGAACTTTCAGCCTTACCATCTGCTCCTTAGACTGAACTGTCACCAAACCCATGCTCTTGTAGCTGCAGTAAAAACAGATATCATAAATAATGGTGCCAAACCAAAAGCTAGTGAAATAACACGAAGACAATGCAATGGAAAAGGGGGCAGCACAAAGATTTGGACCTGGAAGCCAGTGAAAGTGCAAGCACGCGGTCTGTTGCAACAGAAGGCCGTGGTTTCTGGCGATAGTAGCGGATAAATTCCCTAGAACCAAGGGTTCTGACCCGAGTGCCTTTGTCACTCTTGTTTGTTATTACTAGCTCAGACCCACCGGTTCCCAGCTCAATGTTGTTGTTAGAGTCATCAACAGCAACCAACTGCTTACCTTCTGCATCAACATAACTGCAGCAAAAGTAATATTTTAAGATGCGTCCAAGCTTCATTGACTAGCAGAAACTAAGATTATCAACAATACTGACCATGGTATCACAACAAATTCACTGTCTCAACCATCTATGTAAAAAATCTCCAAGCATTTTACCTTACCTTTCTATTTGTATGAAATATAACCCTAGTATTGTCCCACCATAAATGACTGAATAACAGTCTGCATTCTCAAGATTATTCTTTGCCAATGAACGAATGATGCACCAGTTTAAGCAATTTTATGAAATATCAGGAGATCACAACTCAACAGCACAACCCAAAGAGTAAGAGCATAACATGATCAGTCAGTTAAGCATAACATGGTACGGATTTCTGAAATTCAAAAACACATCCAGCAACCTATCAACACTAATATGCCAAAGTATAGTTCATTATGACTACAATCCACAGTGCAATCCGACCTTCAAATGAATATGGTCTCAGTATGATCATTCCCTAAGTAAAGTGCTAAGGGATGGCCAATTACTCGATTCCCAAATTAAAATCATTTTATTTCAGAAACCTTTCCATGGTGCTTAGGAAAAACAGGAACAAACATCGACCATTTAAAAATAACAAACTCAGTAACGATAGAGAGCTTCACAAAACCTGCTGCTGTAATCATAGAAATCCTCAAGGTCAGCATCTTCATCATCTCCACCATCTCCATACCGCAACTTGCAATGCCCCTTTGCTTCCATGTGTTTCCTGACAGCCTCCAGACTGAAGAAGGGCTGGCATCTGTCATTGCAGTAGAGGCAGATAAAATCACGCTTCACCTGAAGGTAGGATAACCAATTCAACGTGAGGATTAAACTTCATGTTTGCACACATACAACATTCGATGTTACACTGATGAAAATGTATACCTTCAGCCCGACATAAGTAAGAAGACCACTGGGATCCTTCAAGTATTCACTGTCAGGTATGAAAAACCCATGCTTCCTATGCATATGGACCATGCAGTCTTCTATGGTGTCATGCTTCAGATCACACATGAAACACGACGAGATATCCAACTCTTCAAGATCAGCCATGTCATCATCTGATTTGGAGGACTGCTCATCTTCTTGCATGTTTGAAGTAGACTCATCAGCCAACTCCATCTCACTTGGGTCAACTTCAACCCACTCCTCCTCATCGTCGTCTTCATCCTCCTCTACTGTAGATGGAGCTCTGCGTGGGACTCGTTCAGGAAGTGGCCTGACTATTGTAATACCAGCAATAGAGGCATTGGGCTCCTGAGAGGCTTTCAAAAGATGTGATCGCGAGTTAAGATGCTGCTCATGAGCTTTCGAGCTCCTGTACTCCTTTCCACAAAGAGCACAGCTGTAAAGCATTGGGGTGCTTGCAGGCTTGCTCCCCTCCGCCAAAGCAGCTTGCCTAGCCAGAAACAGAGCCTCTGTGACACCAGGAACTCCAGCGACCTGAAGAATTTAACATATCAAGGACAAAGCATGACTGAAGTTCAGCACACAAGGAAGCAATAACATAATCAAACATACAAAAAGAAGTTGAACAATTCTCCACACGTAATCTCCATCACAACCAGGCCATAATTACCAATATATGTTCGTTTTTCGGTCCATAAAAATATAAAAAGTATCCTGAATTTCTTAATTCTAATCAATTTTCATGACTGAAATGGAACTCTTAAGTATCTAGATGGACCCAATTTTAGAAATTACCAATCTGCAGCAGTATTTCTATATCTAAATATTCACATACAACTATCACAAAAACAATAAAAATCGACAAAACTCAGGTGCAGAGGTTGGAGTTTTGCAAACATTCCAAGACCTTAGCTGTTAACAAAATCAAAATTCCGATACCAAAATGTCAAGACCCCTACGCTTAATCCTCAATTCATCTCATTCTAGTCCCCAAGGTAAGCCGCACGAACCGATGAACCTAATACCTAGGGTTCTACCGACAGAAGGTCGGCTGCGGCGGGGGCGACGTTACCTTGCGCTTGAGGTTGTAGCGGTGCCATTCGGAGCGGTAGTGGAGCCGCTGCTGCTCCTCGTCGTCGAACCCCGAGTTGCACGCGTTGCAGGTAACCGTCGGCATCCTCGCTCAGCTCTCTCTCCTCTCCGCTCGCTTCGGATTCGACTTGCTCCGGAGGGCACGATCGGGGAGGACTCTCGCTTCTCTCCTTCCTCTCCTTCCGGTGCCGCTTCGCCTTGTACGCGGCGGCGCCTCGGTGGTTAAGAGTTGGGGGAAAGTGGCGGCGGGGCGGGGAAGAAGGGGGAGGAGGAGAAGTAGGAGAGGGCGACGCGGCCGCGTCTGGTGCTGACGTTGGCGCTTGGGTCAGTCAGGCCTCAGGCCTGCACCATCTTTCGTTGTTGGGCTTCTATTTGGGCCGCCCCGAACCGGGCTATGGGCCTACGGTCACGGCCGAAATTACCTAGCTGACCAAAGGCCTTGTTTGGATTGCAAATTTTTGCAACCTGGACACTGTAGCACGTTTCATTTGTATTTGACAAACTTTGTCCGATCATGAACTAGGCTTAAAAGATTCATCTCATGATTTACAACCAAACTATGTAATTAATTATTTTTTTACCTATATTTAATGCTCTATGCATGCGTCCAAAAATTGATGTGACGAAGAAAGAGTAAAAAAACTTGAAATTTATAAACAAGGCCCAATGCGCCTGCCCGCGGAAGCGGCACGGAAGCCAATTTTTTTTTTTCCCGCTCAAACGACTGTCGTCCCCACTCCGCACGGCCACCACACGATCAAATCCCCTCCTCTCCTCCTCGTCATCGTCCCCACCGAAACCGCAGTACCGTACCCGCGCCGACGCGAGCACGATGGCCGCCGCGGCCTCCTCCTACTTCGCCGGCCCGGCCATCCTGCCGTCGCAGCGCGCCGCCGCGGCGCCCGACAATTCCGCCGTCGCCACCCCTTCTCCGGCCAAGGTCCGTCCGTAATCCTCGATTCCTCCTTTTTTTTTTTGAGAATTAATCCTCGATTCCTCGTGACCGATTTCCATCCCCCTCCTGCCAAACCCTAAGTCCCTAACCCCATTCGCCGCTCCGATCGCAGCAGTCGCGTGACCCCCGCTTCTCCGGATGCGCCCCGACCACCGTGCGTCACATCGCCCGTTCCTTCGCCGCCGCAGACGCCACTGGTGGCGGCGACCCTGCCATCTCCATTGACGGCGTCGACGCCACCAACGTAAGCACCCCCCGAGCCTCGGAATCCCTTCCTATAATTGCATCCGCGCGGGTTCGCTTACCTCTGTGTTGTTCTGGGAAAATTCTTATCAGAAGCATATTGGAATTTGAAATGCATAATTTTTTGAGGAAGATGTAAGATCAAGTGGGCATACATTTTGTGTAGGCATTGCCTCCCTTATTTCTTAATTGTGGTCCCCTGCCACACATTTGGCTGTGGAACCATGGTCTTGCTCATACTAATTATTTCTGGGCTCTAACCAGTTATCTCACATATAGCTTCATTATTGTTAATTTGTTATTGTTAGGTGAAACTGACATTAAAACTTAGAAGGCCACATGCATTCTCATTGGAAAATAAGGCTGGTTTACTGTCTTTCCATGTTATACTTGTTCCTGTATATATTTTCTCTGTTTGTCTAGGCAATACACTCTTTTTTGAGCTTGCATTTGGCTAGGATTAACTTAAAGCTTTGTTGGTTACATTTCGTAGTAAATGATAAGCACTGTTGTCTGTTGATAATGGATCCTTATTCTGCACTAAAGAACTATATTTTAATTATAGTCCTTGCACAACTTCTTCCTTTGGGTTGATCTTCTGAAGCCTAGTGCCAGCTGCAATACAGTATCATCTAGGCTGGAAATTGGATTACTCCCTCCGTCCCATAATAAACGCAATTGTAGGACCAAACACGTTTACCAAGGAATGATACCAACAACAACAACAACAACAAAGCCTTTAAATCCCAAACAAGTTGGGGTAGGCTAGAGTTGAAACCCAGCAGAAGCAATCAAGGTTCAGGCACGTGAATAACTGTCTTCCAAGCACTCCTATCTAAGGCTAAGTCTTTGGGTATATTCCATCCTTTCAAGTCTCCTTTTATTACCTCTACCCAAGTCAACTTCGGTCTTCCTCTGCCTCTCTTCACGTTACTATTCTGGCTTAGGATTCCACTACGCACCGGTGCCTCTGGAGGTCTCCGTTGGACATGTCCAAACCATCTCTACCAAGGAATGATACCAAATTACAAAAATACCCCTGCACAGTTAAAGTCTCTGGAAAAAAGCCTGTGCGGAATGTTCTAGAATACCCAAACATGTGGAGGAGAGGGCACCACATCGTTCATGAGCCTTGTGTCTGATTTTTTTTTTCTGCATGCAGCAGCTTACTCAGGATGGGTCCCTCAAGAGAATATGGCAGCCTTTGCTCTATGTATGCATTTTCTGTGGGACAAATTTCAAACCGTAGGATTGCATTTTTTTGGGACGAAGGGAGTAGTTAATATATTCTCTATATATTTTGTTACTTTCAGAGTGAGGAACGAGATAGGTAACTACTATGTAGAAATCTAGCATATTATTGTAGCATATGTTTATGAATACTTGATCGTTTCTTGCCTATTTCTATCTGTAAGTATCAATACTTCTACCAGGATTTTTAAAAAAAAAAAAACTTTTACCAGCTTCTTACAACTAGTACTTAGATCGTTGTAATTTTGTTTACAGGCCTGTTACCAATTTCAATGAAGTGGTGCTGCACTTCATTGAGTGTCTGTATATGCATTTGGTAAATGTCCGGCCAAAGGTGATTAGAGCAAATGGCAATTTTTTGTTTCAGTTCTATTTTGATGATGTATGAAAGCACAAAATGTTATTTCCTTTCCATTTTGAAGATGCAAGGTCAACTCCCTAGCGCTGTTCAAGCAAATGTGTCTACTCACGAGATGCAAGCTCAAGTCGCTCACACAGTTCAAATAAATGCACCTGCTTATATGCCCTTCTCTGGTGGAGTAAGAGATCATCAAGTTGATTTTGTTCCTCAAGTAAACCAAGGGCGATTCCCTTCATCAGTTCAGACAAACACATCTACTCATGTACCCTTTTCTGGTGTAGTTAGAGAACAGCAAGTTCACTTTACTCCTCAACCAAACCAAGTAAGAAACCTCTCAATTTTCTCATTTTTGAGAGTTTCTTGCTAAAGAAAAGTAGGTGAATCTATGAGTCAGTCGTGGCATTTGATATTTGAGATATGAATCTGATTGTGTTGATCCTGATCTGCAAATTTTACTGTTGAGCATTATGATATTCTGAATTGAGATAGTTCATTGCCTGTCCTAGCACTTTTCATCGCTGCCTTATTATATTTTATTCGCGAACTTATATCCTTCACTGCCCTTTCTCTTTGGGTAAGTATGTTTGCTTCTTGTAACTGATTGGTTGCGATAATTTTTGTTCAGTTTTCAGCTTACCCAGGTACTGGTGGACAACAGCACGATCTGCAGACTAGGGTTTTGGAGGTTATGCAACAACCAGATATACTGTAAGATCGGCTTTGCTTTAAACTATGATAAAGGATAGAAGATCTTAAGTAGTGCTAAACTTTGGCTGATTTGCTTATTTGTGGTCACAAGCTTGAGAAGCCCTAATACCAATCAGTGATTGCAAGTTAGTTCCAGCCTTACATACATCCCTGATTTGCTATTTTGGTGCCCTGCATGTAGGAGTCTTTGAGTGTGTTCCAAAAGGAAAGTAGGAAATACACTTCCATTTTAAATATGCACAAACTATTTTTATGTTCAAATAATAGGTAGAAGGCACGTAGATCAGCATAGATTTGCGAGAGAGTGTAGTGGCATTCAGTCAGTTACATCTTTTAACATTTAAATGAATATGATTTTTGCTGCTTCATTTGGATATTATAATGTGATAATGACCTATGCTGTAACTTCATGGTCTGGTTACACACAGAGAAAAATGACCCAGAAATAACATGGAAATATTATAATCATAATGCACATAAAAAAGTGGTCTGGTACCTACATCCTGTGTGTTTTCATGCACATAATGTGTCGTGAAGTAATCTGTAACAATGTTATGGAGTTTCACAAATAATCTAGTAATCTGATTCCTTCTTGATCCTTTTGTTTGAAGTCTTAATAACTTAGGTGGTTGTATGAGCTTTGTCAAGTCATAAGTGTTAAAGCTATGGTATGTTACTTGCTGGCGATCTTCTGACTTTTCAAGGAATCAAGATACTTTGATTTGCTTGATTGTCTCCTAGTTTACAGTGGAATCAAAATTCCCTGTTTGTCCAATTTTGCATTGGGCATCTTCTCAACTAAGATGTTTCAACACTCGCATTGATTTCCTTGCATGTATTCTTGTTTTGGAGTTCTGAATTGACCATTTGCTTTCACTTTTATGCAGTGCACTTGAAAATGGAGTACATGTTGATGAAGTGGCAAGGAGACTTGGAATGCCAAGAGCACAAATTATGTACATAACTCTCCTCTCATGTATTTCATCACAAGCATATGCACTATGCTAAATCTTATATATCTTTAAACATGCAGGGTCACTGCCCAGCGTCTGGTCGATTTGGCCTGCCTCTATTCCACTATTGATGAATATCATTTCAAGTCTCTTTTAAATGGTTGATCAATGTTATCATCTTCAAGACTAGTATAATGGCATTTGAGATTATTGGCAGTTTTTAGGTACTGAATAGCATTCGTGTATATGCTTTAAGTATGCACATCTGGTACATGCATTTTTCTTTGTACAGAGCACTGAGCACCCGTTTTTTAGTTGCCAAGCAAGTTACTCAGACTGTCAGACATGCAGATCGGTTAGAAACTTAGAATGTCAGACATGGGCATGCTGCAGTTGCTGGATGGATCTGCTTAGTACTGTTTACTTGTTTTTATTCTACTGGAATATACAGTGCGATCTTCTCATTCATTTCTTTCTATGCTTCCTTCCGGTTGCCATGCATGATCATCTTTTTTGGGCCCCTTTTTATGCTTATGAGTTATGAACTTATGATGTGATCTTGCCCATTTTATTAGTATGTTTACTGTCATAGATGACAATAACATGGTGCCCAGCTGCTCATCATGGATTTCAGCTTTTTTTTCTTTCTTTTGTCAGTAAATTTTTGCCTGGTGTTTCTAGTTGAACTTGTGTTTCAAATATAGTATCTCTGTCTCATGTTTGCAGTTGATTTTGTGTTTCAATTGAGGGTGCCATGGGAATAGAATAAGAAAGAGTGGGAATGAATGAAAGAATAGGGGTTTGGTCTGAAAAATTCACTCTTCAACTTGTCAGGCCAACCACTTCATCGGTCTTACTACTCATATGTTAAACATATTCTCTTCTAGTTTAGGTTATCTTCTTTAGGCCACCTTGTCAAAATAAGTCTATCTGCTCGGAACAATAATTGTGTACACTAGCTTCCTGAATCCTGAGGATGCTCACCTAAGTTTTTTTTTCTTTTTCGGAATCCATCTACTGATCAGAATTGTACACATGTTTATCTTAAAGCTAGTACGTCAAAGATTATTAATTGCCCTATCTAACTAACACCAGTTTGCTACTACATTCATTAGCGTTGGAACTCTCCACAGGTTATCCTAGATCCTACTACATTATATTATTCTTTTAAGATTGCATATAATAGCTCTTCATGAATTAAATATGAAGCATGTGTAGAAATAAGTCAATTTCTTGTAGTTGGTGACGTCTTAAAACACGTCCTGCATCAGGCATACTGTACCTGACATTCTGGTGCTGTTTTGATGTTTGGGATATTTAATACCATGTCTGATGCTTGTTCCTATATCTCACTCACATCAGTAAAGAATCATTTCCAAGTTTTTCAGAGTTGTATATGATATTATATTCCTGGATCAGGTCCATACTGTCCTGTGCTTCCCGGTCATTGTTTTGTTTTTGTCTTTTGATTATCCAATGCTATGTGGCTGTATGATTATAAATATGTTTCCTTACCTTAAACCATTATATAGGTGAACTAAGACATTATCGCAGTTAAATAGACAAATACAGCAGAGTCTCCTTTTCCAGCCCCCCTGCACATTTGATTTTCTTGAACCATGGCAGTTTCACTGCCTCATGATGACTGTTCATACCATTGATGAAATTTCAATCAGTAGCAACCTATTTTATTCGTTTCTGGAAGTTTTATGTTGGTAGACCACTAGTTTTTTTTTTGAAAGAACTGGTAGATCACTAGTTCATATTCTAATGCCTGTTAGTGCAATTAAAGTCTGTTATAAGAAAATTATATTCAACTCAAACATTTGTACATTCATCCATGATCCATGTACCAGCATTAATGATTAGTGTTCATTAGAACAGATTTCTGGAACCCGGCATTTCACAACTATCTAGCAGGAAATCAATGTCATAAATAAAGGGCTTGCTGATACTAACATGACTTTGTACCGTATTTGCTTCTTCTTTTTTTTTTTGGGGGGAGGGCCAAAGCCCCTACAGATAATTTTATTGAAATTAAGAAAGTTTACAAGCTAAAACAAGTATTTGCTTCTTCTTTTGGTTGGTTTATTGCGTCGTGAGACATCGACGTGGAAATCAAACCAAAACAATTCCTTTGTGCTGCATAAGGCTGTAATCCAAACAGTTTAAGCCACATTTAAGGGAAAAGCATGTTATTAGCCTCGTTGAACAACACCTTTCATCCTTTGCTGTGGAACAAATTAGGCTGTTCGCTGATTGGTTTCTGGACTGATAAGCTCGGCTGGTGCTGATTTGTTGTGAGAGGAAAACACTGTACCATAGCTGATAAGTCCGGTCTGAAATCAATAAGCGAACATGCTGATTAGCTGCTGGTCCGGTGGACTGTCAACAGCAGCTGTTAACCATTAGGCAGCCCTTATCGTAGCATTTAGTTGGTGCAGCTGTGCAAGTGATGACCCTGGGAATTGCTCGCCTTTAATTTGTTAACGAGAAAGAGACGCCTAGTTCGCTGACTCTTAGATGAAGTCATGCCTAGGTTTCTCTTTGAACACATGGTCTTATTTTCTCACATCATTTTTCTGTGCTCATTGGAAATGTTTGCTTTGTGATTTCCCTATGCTGCCACGTCATTCCCAATCTCCCACGTTGTTTAGGCGCTGGGAACAATCCCAGTTTGGTTTGAACTTCGCTAACCATGCAGTTGCGCATACTAAGAACAAGGTAGGTTTGACCCTGCTCCAGCACTGAGCCTCTCTAGCTTGTCGTTTGTAAAGAACAAACAGGGCGTCGTGTCTTTCTCGATAGGCCAGATTAGGTCAGACTCGGCACGCCTGGACCTGCATCGGCCATGTGTTACCTCTCGTTTGGGTTTGGTTTGGGTACCTAAACCGCCTACTAAAACCAAAACAGTGGAGATATGATTCCCTGCTGGACGCTGGCGACACGTAAAAGGGGCACGAACTCTTGCCCTACTATCTGATCACCGTCGGGCCGGTTGCTGGTGTCCATCTTCTAGTACTCACCTGCGCGGAGGTCCTGGGGGCTGGGGCGGTGACCGCGCACGTCGCCCTGCTTTACCGGGCACAGCTCGACCTGTTGCAAACTGCCCCTCGCCACAACCACAACCAGATGGAGAGATCAGAGATAGAGAGCTCTGAGCTCGAGACCACTTGGCAGGTAACCACCCGGCCGGTCGCGCTCCCGCAGCCCCCCACCTGCTCACTTTAAATTAGTGTCACGCTTGGTCACCTTCGTCCCAACTGCAACCCAGAGTTGCCAGCAGCAGCTGCGGCGCCACACGCGCCTTTCATGCGCTAGTCCAGTCCAGACCTGTCCTGTCGCCGGCCGACGAAATCTCAGTTCGATCGCTTCTGGCTAAAACACATCATTATCCTCGCAAAATCGCCCCTGTTATGCGCAGGGCAAGTACACACACTGACGTCTACATGTATGTATGCACAGCGTGTATCATGTCATGATCGATGTGTGCATGGACGTATGGTACGTATATTTACTTTTCATCATCACATACACTAAACATTTCAAGATAATCTTGTATTTACAAAGTGGGCGCCAACCTCCCCTTAGGACAAACTAGCAAAAACCCACATCACAGATTCACAGGTATCTAGTTTTTTTTTTAAAGAATGGATTTCTTTTCATGTCCTGACATGGGCTAATTGTTCGTAGTTGACGAGGAGGAAGAGGGGGACGGGGTGCTAAAGTCCTCGTCGTCCTCGTTCTCGTCTTCATCGTCGTCATCGAGATCGTCGAACCACCATGGCTGCTCCTCGTTGCCGGCCGCCTCCTCGGGCATCGCCCACCGGTCTTGCCGGATCTCGCCGCCTTCCAGCAGCTCCAGCACCTGCCACCACGGACCACCGCATTTCATTATTACTAACATAACACTAACTGTTACAGGTAAACTAAGCAACAGAGGAGTGGACTGTAGCGTAGGACTGTAGGTCAGCCCGTAGCTGCACGCCATGGAGACATGTGCTTCCGGTGTCCTGCCACGAACGCCGACCCTAAACTACGACTAAACTCGCCGGCCCGGAAACGTTAACCCAAAAAAGGAAAAACACTGCGAGTTGGCACTTGGCAGTAATATAAGCGCAGTGGTTCGGAAGCAGACAGGGGCGTCGGTACGGTGACCTGCCACTCGAGATTGACCTGTGAGTGATCGCGCACCTCGGTCATGGACGGCCGCCACGTCGCCGGCGCCCGGACGCACAGCGATGCCACGAACGCCACCCGCCGCGCCTGCTCGCCGTCGTAGTCGCCGCTGAGCCTCGGGTCCACCAGCGCCTCCGTCTTGCCGTCGCTCAGCAGCGGCCGGGCCTGCACGTATACGTTGTTCATTCGTTTCGTCACGACCAGTTTCTGTCAGTGGTCAGTAGACACACACACTACAACACTAGTGCGGGTTGGAGAAACGAAAACGTCTTGTTTACATACGTACCCAGCTGAGGAGGCTCCGGTGGCTGCCGTCCACCGGCTTCCGGCCGGTGACGAGCTCCAGCAGGAAGACGCCGAACGCGAACACGTCCGTCTTCTCGTCCACGATCCCGTGCGTGTAGTACTCCGGCGCCAGGCACCTGATCGGGAAACCAAACATGGCTGATGAACTGAACTAACAGGGGAGGAGTCGTCGTCGTCGTCGATCATGAGCGACGACCGACGATCCATGGGTATGGGTTTACCGTTTACCGTACCCGAAGGTGCCTTCGATGGGCGCGATCGCCCGGTGCGTCCACTCCGACGGCAGCCACTTGGCGAGGCCGAAGTCGGAGATCTGCGGCTGCAAGTCGTCGGTGAGCAGGACGTTGGAGGCCTTGATGTCCCGGTGGATGATCCGCCTCCGGCACCCCTTGTGCAGGTACTCCAGCCCGCGCGCCGTGCCCACCGCAATGCCGTGCCGCGCTGCCCACCCCATCGCCGGCAACGTCTCGTCTGCCGATCATTCATGTCACGGAAGAAAAGAAAGAAACGTCACGCGCGCATTCATTGACCTCGCCGCGGTTTCGACGGCAACGGCGGCGGTGTGCGTCGGTTCGTGTTCCCACGCGGCCACGCAAGCGCGGAGGTACGTACCGTGGAGGTTGGCGGCGACGGAGCCGCGGCGGGAGAAGTCGAAGACGAGGTAGAGGCCTTGGTCGACGCAGCACCCGAGGAGGCCGCACACGTTGGGGTGGCGCGCGTGGCCCACCGTGCCCAGCTCCGCCAGGAAGTCCCGCTCCCGGCGCTCGCACGCCGACTCGCCAAGCAGGCGCTTCACGGCCACGGCGCCCCCGTCGGGGAGCTCGCCGCGGTACACCTCCGAGGACCCGCCCCGGCCCACCAGGTTGCGCGCGTGGAAGCCGTCCGTGGCAAGGTGGACCTCCTCGTACGAGAAGCAGCGCCACGCCGGCCTGCTGCTGCGCTGCGGGGACGACCCAGGTTCCTCCGGGGATTCCTTGGTGGCGTCGTTGGTGTCGGCTTCGGCGTCCACCGGCTTAGTGGTCGGCGACCGGTGGCCGATGGAGAGGAGGAGGAGGAGCCGCTTGAAGCTCCCGCTGCTCCGCAGGTACAGAGGTTTCATTCTCGTCTCCGCGTTGGGCTCGGCAATGACGGAGACGCCGCCGGGAGCGAGCCAGCGAGGTGATGGTCGAAGCAGAGGAGGAGGAGGACAGGGAGAGGGAGGCCAATAGAGGAAGAGGGCATTGATGGAGGGGAGTAACGGCGAGGTGTGGTGGCGAGTGTCGCAGGGGGCGCAAGCGAGTGAAGCCGACGGGCGTTTTTGTGGAGGGAGGCGCGGCCGGCGGTCCTGGTCCCGGACACAGGCCGAACCGCGGAGGTCGCAGACGCAGGTTTCTTTTCGGTTTTATTTACTACCCGTGAAATTCTTGCATGAAATGGAATTCATGCAAAGTCGCTGCAAATTTCTCCCGAAAGCAGCTGTCGCATGCAATTGGCACTGTTTCTCGACAGTCGACAGGGACAGGGAGTTGAGTTGAGCAAGACTGTCGAGTATCAACCATTCGATCTAACTCCAGCGGACGTGCGGTTGTACAACCATTGACAAAACACATGCGTTTCCGTGCAAGTTTTGTTCGTTTTCGACGGTGTTTCTTCTCATAAAAAAGGTTTGTTTCGGGGGTAGTCGCGTCGCGTCCACCGGTGCGTGCGGTGCGGCCGTGGAACAGGTCCAGATGGGCGTGTGGGCGGCTGACGGGGCCTGCCTGTGGGTGATCTGACTGAGACTCTCAGAGCAGAGTGGGACGGCGGTGGTTGCTTGTAAACAGGGGAAGGAAGCGAAGCGAGCGTTTCCTGCCGGAAGGGCCTTTTGTGTTTCGGCCACCGGCTCCACCATGCACACTGTGCAGCAGAAACAGCAAAAGGGCGCTCCTCCCTTGCCGACCGCTCTGCCCTGCTCACGCCCGACGACCGACGAACGGAACCGCCCGGAGAGGTCGGTCCACAGTGTACGGTGTACCCAACTGTTGCTTCTTGCCAGCGTCGCTGTCCCGTCTCCAGGACGGAAAATATCAGCGTTTTCTTGCAACGTCAACCGTGTCCTTGCCGTCGCCCGTAGCCCCGTACTGCACAGCGGCGGCGACTGGGGAGGGAAGAGACAAAATGCATTGCTCTGTTTTGCTGTTCAGCGTGCGAGTAAAGCCAGTGCCCAAGGTCTGTATTTTGTTTACGGGGTGCGAAAAAAAATCAGTGCCCAAGGCTCAACTCCAATCTAGCAATACCATCAGCATCGAATCGCTGTGATGCTATAAAAAAAAGTCGCTGTGACGTTCTTTCTTGGATTGGACATGTTTCGGGCCGCATTTGTCCATGGGCTATAGCCTGGCTAATGGCCCCGTTCGCTGGTCTGAAACTTAGCTGAAACTAGCTTAACGGTGTTTTTGTACTTTGAGGCCTCGGTGGGTGCGCGCGAGCGCACCCGCCGGGTGTAGCCCCCGAGGCCCTGGGGGAGTGGATTCATTCCCCCAGGGTCTTTTTTCCTCACTTTAAGCGAGAGATTTTGCATTTGCCGAGCCCACAAGTGCGAGTTCGGGTCGCGGGGTTTAGGCAAGGTCGTAGGAAGAGCCCCCGAGCCTCTGCACGGAGCGAGAGGGCGATCGGGAGCTCCCCTGACTTTTTGTACGACCCTCGCGCTTCCTTTTCGCTCGGAAGGAGGGGTGGAATATGCCAGGCTACCCTCGGTGGGCGCGAGCGATGACATTTCCGATGAGCTGTTATCGGGTAGTCCGAGTGGAGGCCCGAGCCCCGTTCGCTAAGGGTCGGCTAGCGGTCCGGAGACGCACTCCAAGAGTACCGGAGGGTTTCTCTAGTGGGTGCCGGGGCCGTTCGCTGGGCCCCGGTGGCTCGGTGCTTCCCTACGGTGGGATCCCATTCGGAGACCTCCCTACCGGTCTCGGACACGACTTGGGGCGTCTTGAGCGATCGTTTGCTCGGGCCTTGGCCATACGTGGGCTCGCCCACAGTCGTCCCTGACTCTGTTGTCCTGGGACGGCTGTCGAAACTCTAGGGGGCCCAGCCTTCGAACCCCTGGACCGTAACGGGCTCGATGCCCTTTATCGTGTTTTTAACGAAACTTCTAGCGCGGGCTTTGGTCGTTTGTCTTTGTCTTGGGTGCAGGAGGAGCCCCCGTGCCTCCGCGCGGAGCGAGAGGGCGGTCAGGGGTCCTCCTGACTTTTTTGTTCAACTCTCACATATCCTTTTCGTTCGGACGGAGGGGTTGTTTGCCGAGCCCATTCGGGTGCGAGCCTGGGTCGCTGGGTCTCGGCAAGGTTGCAGGAAGAACCCCCTAGCCTCCGCATGGAGCGAGAGGGCCGTTAGGAGTTCCCCTGGCTTTTTGTACGCCCCTCGCGCGTGAGGGTTTGTTTTGCCGAGCCCCCTCGAGTGCGAGCCGAGGTCGCTGGGTCTCGGCAAGGTTGCAGGAAGAGCCCCTTAGCCTCTGCACGGAGCAAGAAGGCCGTCAGGGGTTCCCCTAACTTTTTGTATGACCCTCGCGCTTCCTTTTCGCTCGGAAGGAGGGGTGGAATGTGTCAGGCTACCCTCAGTGGGCACGAGCGGTGGCACTTCTGGTGAGCTATTATCGGGTAATCCGAGTGGAGGCCCATACCCCGTTCGCTAGGGGTCGACTAGCGGTCCAGAGACGCACTCCAAGAGTACTAGAGGGTTTCTCTAGTGGGTGTCGGGGCCGTTCGCTGGGCCCCGGTGGCTCGGTGCCTCCCTATGGTGGGATCCCATTCGGAGACCTCCCTGCCGGTCTCGAATACGACTTTGGGCGTCCCAAGCGTTTCGCTTGCTTGGGTCTCGGCCCCGTATGGGCTCGCTCGCGGTCGTCCCTGACTCTGTTACCCTGGGGTGGCTGTCGAAACCCCTCGGGGCCTAGCCTTCGAACCCCTGGACCGTAATGGGCTCGGTGCCTCGTTCCTTCGTCTGAAAGGAATAGGGTGGGGGATATCTCCCCCATCGGCTTGACAACGGCTGGCGCGCCTTTTGAGGTGATTTTCTCAGGGAGGCGAAACGACGCCTGCCGCAGCAGCGGTCGGACGCGACGTGGCGTCAGTGGATGGAACGTAACTGTTCTCGCGATTAATGAGGAAAAAGTGGGCACGTGGGCGGCAAAATCGGACCAGGATTAACTATGCTGGATCTGGGGGAAACTTCCCTGATTTCGTCGCCCGTCCGTTTCGCCTTCACCCTGCATAAATACGCAACGAGCCTCGCCCCTCCCCTCGTTACCTCGCCTGCATTAGCTCTGCCCTCATTGAGCCGTCGCTAGAGCAGCGAGCACCGGGGAGAAGAAGGGAGAAGGGCGAGGCAGAGAGAGAGAGAGAGAGACAGAGAGAGAGAGACTCACTGCCATATTCGAACCCTCCACCGCACTCATGGCCGGCGACATTGTTGTCATCGAGGTGGACCCATGGGATCCATCCGATGTCACCGTGGAGGTGCTTCAGTCGCTCGTCGACGGCGGATTCCTTCGTCCGGTGACCGACCCCAACAGGCCGGAGTGGATCGCTCCGTCGGACGAGCCGGAGCCGAGGCCTCGCGACGGTTACGTCGTGAGCTTCGTGTCTTTTCACGAGCGTGGCCTCGGCATCCCGGCGGACCAGTTCATGCGGGCGCTCCCGCACTACTATGGCGTGGAGCTCCACAATTTCAACCCTAATTCTATCACGCAGGCGGCCATCTTCATCGCCGTCTGCGAGGGGTATTTGGGGATTGCTCCCCATTGGGAGTTGTGGCTCCATCTCTTCCGGGCGGGGCATACCACCAAGCCGACGGGCACGTCGGGCACGAGGAAGGCGGTGAGGGCCGGCGGCTGCACTCTCCAAGTGCGCCAGGACCGCCAGCACCTCTACATCCCGGCCCAGCTCGCGTCATCCAATCGTCGATGGTACACAAGCTGGTTCTACCTCCGCAACGACGACGGTGGTCTCCCCTTCTACACTGGGCGGATTGTGGGGAGCTGTCCGGAGAGATGGAAGTACGACGTCCCGAGGGAGGATCAGCCCAAGCTACAGCCACTCTTGGAAGGTCTGGAGAGGCTGCGGGACCGCGGCCTTACCGCGGCTATGGTTGTGGCCGCCTTCCACCACCGGAGGGTGCTGCCGCTGATGGCTCGGCGGTGGCGCCTGTTTGAGATGAGGCCGGATGAGCCGATCGTGGGCATCCGGATGTCCGCCTCCGCCCTCTCTGACGAGGAAATTCTTTGCCGGGTGAGGGAGACGGTGGAGGTTTCAAAGATGAGGAGTGGTGGTCTAACCACCCTCGCGATGCATCCGTCGCGGGGGTTCCTCTCACTGGTTAGTCACGCGCCACTACAGTCCCCGAGCCCTCTCTGTTCCTCATTATTTCTTGTTCCCTTATCCGCGTTGGCTGTTCCCGTAGGGGATGAGGGATGTGCGAGCCTCCCCGCCGCCCGTTCTCGAGGACGTGAGGCGACGGGCGATCAATCGGGCGCACGCCGAGGCGTAGAAAAAGCGGAAGGACGCCAAGGCGGCGAAGCGCACGAAGAAGATCCTCGCGCGCGAGGAACTGGACAAGCGTCGTCGACAGCAAAGGAAGGACGGTCTCCTGTTGGAGGAGTCCCCTTCGCCGTCGCTATCGACGGATGCCTCGGACGGAGATGACGAGGGCGAGGTGGGGCGGGGTCCCCTGGACCATCTCCCTGACGTCAGGGAGACGGTGCCCGGGGCATCGGCAAGTAGTCCGGCGCTCCCAGAGGGAGGAGGAGGAGCTGTCCCGGGGTCGGCAGTCGCCCGCCCTGGGGTTGAGGCCGACATGCCCGAGGCGCGGGCGCTGGGCAAGCGTGCCGTCAGCCCGATGGGCTCGATGATAGTAGTGGAGCAGGTGGCCGCGGGTGCAACGCAACCGCCCCCGCAGAGGACTGAGGGGGCGCTGGGGCCCGTCGGGGACCGGCCAGCACCGACGGATGCAGAGGCCGCGCCCCTGCCGCCGCCACCACCTTTGTAGACGAGGGTTGCAGTGCCGAAGCAGTTGCAGCCTCGCTTGGGGTAAGCGTATTTTTGGTAGAGCCGCAGCGTTTTTTCGTTTGTTCTTCGGTCTCGTGCT